CGGTACGTTGAACCTTGATGTGAAGGGACGAAATTTTACTGATGATATTGGGCATATTCAGGGTTTTGACCCAAAGATTCTGCAATTCTGCCGAATACAACCTGGAAGGCGTCCCCATCGAACAGGTCATCGCAGCTCTCGTGGCGACAGATCATTTTTTGGTCTACACGCGATCGTTTGAAGAAGAAGGTATCTATATCATTGCATCTAGTGCTTTGCGCGACCGCCCAGAAGCCATACGACGCATTCTTTTTGAGTCTTTCCATGCCCACGAGTCTATGAATGACGAGGGTGTCCATGTGGTTGATAGCATGGAGATAATGGATAGTGAGGATGATGATGAGGCCGAATATCTTCTCCTCCTATCTCCTCTAAGTCAATTTCTGTGGAATGGTCTGGTGTTCATGCTCGAACTTCCAAGGATGGATCTTGACATGAAGGACAACCGCTTGCGTCTTGTTGCAGATGGACCCGACCGGCGGCTTGTGCTAGCCAAGGAACAATTCTCAGATATCTTCGTGGACGAAGAAGATGAGCCTTTAGAAATGGTGCTTACCCCTCTGCAGTGCATCATCGAACAACAAGCGCATCTACCCACAGTCAACCGTGAGCTGCGGAAGATAGCTCGCGCGACCAACAAGCTGGCGGAGTCAATAGTGGATTCTGTGCACCACGTTCGATATTCACTGCGCAATGCAGTTGGATACCAGGAGCTCCTGGAGAATTGGTATCTGTTCGCTTCCGAGCATGGGCAACACGCTCAGAAGTACATGGAACGTTCGCCTCTCAGCAAATTCAACCGTCTGCTGATACGCCTCGCCATCTCCTGGGTATCATTCATCTGTGATGACTGCGATCCATCAGATCGGAAAACCTTTCGATGGGCCGTGAATGCATTGGAGTTCGCGCTGCACCGCACTCGACGGAACAATATATTGCAAATGCCAGATGATCAATTCGAAATGCTGCGGCAGAAAGTTGCTAGCTGCATGACGCTCCTCATCAGCCATTTTGATATTCTTGGTGCTCGGTCCACTTTGGAAGCACGGAAGGAGAAGGAAAGACAAGAGGGACTTCTGCGCGAGCAAGCCTCGATAACTGCCGATGAAGAGCCTGGATTCCCAAGGTCCTCATCGCCTGCTAATGATGATCTCATCAGCATGAACACGTACTCATACACAGATGCTAACGTGCGTCTGTATTGGGAGAAGACGGCAAGGGCGTTACATGCACTTGAAAGCAGTCGAGCACAGACCGGCACAGACCAAAGGGTTGTAGGCCGTGTTCTTGACAACGAGAAACCCGAAGATCGGTCTCTCGTTTTCCTTGCGTCTTCAAGTTCCAATATCTCCATTCGTTGGCAGCAAAGAAGGTTCATTGGGGCTGGAGCATTCGGTTCGGTTTACCTCGCAGTCAACCTCGACTCTGGTTCCCTCATGGCTGTCAAGGAAATCAAATTTCAAGAGCTGTCTGGGCTTCCAAACCTCTACTCGCAAATCAGGGACGAGCTAAGCGTCATGGAAATGCTTCATCATCCCAATGTCGTAGAATACTACGGAATCGAAGTACACCGCGACAAGGTATACATCTTTGAAGAGTACTGCCAGGGCGGAAGCCTGGCTTCTCTTCTGGAACATGGGCGAATTGAGGACGAGAGTATCATACAGCTCTACACCATGCAGATGCTGGAGGGACTTGCATATTTGCACTCGAAGGGAATAGTCCATCGGGATATCAAACCTGACAGTAAGTCTGAGCATTCTGCGGTTTACACATCATTTGGATCGTTCAACAGATATTCTCCTTGATCATCGTGGTGTCATCAAATATGTCGATTTTGGAGCGTCTAAAATCCTCGTGAAGAATCGAACCATGCAACGTACACGTAGAGGAGACTTCGGCGGGAATTCTACGAAAGCTGGCGGCTTTGGCGGAGGCTTAGGCATGAACAGCTTGACCGGAACGCCCATGTATATGTCCCCGGAAGTCATCAAAAATGATAAGAGAGGTCGTCACGGCGCAATGGATGTTTGGTCGCTCGGATGCGTGGTTCTAGAGTTTGCTACCGGCAAGAAACCATGGAGCAATTTAGATAATGAATGGTACGACCATCGTTCGTCTTTAATGTAAGGATTGATCTGACGGGAATGGGGCAACAGGGCCGTCATGTTCCACATTGGAGTGGCTACGCAGCATCCACCCCTACCGGAACCCGGACAGCTGAGCGATCTAGGCATCAACTTCATCAAGCAGTGTCTCATCATTGATGCCATGAGAAGGCCGACGGCTATCGAACTACTGGACCACCCTTGGATGCTCCAATTCGGCGAGACGCTCCTTGGGTATGAGGAGACTGAGTTGGTGACTAGTCCGCCTATAGAGCTGCCGACAGAGGAAAACTATGAGATGGCTACAGTTGCAAGGCAGGCTGCAATCATCCAGGAGAAAGAAGTTGAGGCCATCCAAATACCCTCGCCCACCCTCTCCTCAACAGGAACGCCCACACCCGAAGCTGAATATGAATATGAATGACGATAACTCATGCATGCTGGTAGTTCACTTAATTTCTGCAACATTCCAATTCACACTTAGCAAACATGTAGCCTTACTCATACTTGTACATCTCCATTCAAATTGTTTTCGTAATTTGTCTAGCTAGCGACATGTACACACGAACTAGTAGCGTTTCCCGAGTTCCTTCTAACCTTCAATGCCAGGACAATAAACAAGGATCCAAAAAAAAAAACCTTCAATGCCAATTTTACTATCCACACCAAATATCGGTTGTCCGAGGGTATTTCAAAATGGGCCGCAAAAGGAACGCAATCCAGTTCACAGACATTCTCAAAGTGTTGATCGCACCCTCCACGAGAAACTATAATAGTAGGTCGTCATGACAGGGGCACGACTACAGAAGTGACACTCACTCACCTGTATCGAGGCTCAGTTCGCTTTCTGCAACTTATCGACACAAGAGTCGCGTGATTTCGGTAGATGACTCGTCATTTTTCGTCCGAGTCACCCTTTGGATTTGGAATCCGACGAGAAACGCCGCGACTCCTCCGCTGCATTCACAAAAATGCTTCTAGCAAGGCGGATCGATACAGTGGGAGAGAATATCTTTTGAATCAATGTCTAAGATTAGTGATAGGCTGTGTGTAAACTTGACCAACCTTGAACCAGTGCATGGCAGGGCGAACTATGAAACGACCAGAGATTACTCTGACAGGTGTATGAGTATCAAAATTCATGACGAATCTTGCGCAATTCTCTGGCTCTGAGTAGCAGAAAAGTCGTTGACTGACTGTTGACGCGAACATCGGATTAATCCCCATGGAAAGTCTAGTAGAGTCTATACGCATTAGGTCGCCGTGGCACTGCGAGGAGGCAGCAACACAGTGAACTGGTGAGGAAAGTAGCAGTAATAGTGACTGTATTTGGTCGTTACTACGGAATCACGTTGTCACAGGCTCGTGTCATAGTAATGCATCAAACAGAGTAGCAGACCTGTGGTGCATCATCGGTGCAACTGAAATACCCGCCAGTGAGTAGAGGCATACTGATGGGCCGAGCGTGGAAACGTCATGGATCAATATTTCCCACACTCCGCTAGGCACCCTTGGCATGCAATACCGCATACACCTATCTGCGCAGGAGTCTTTCGACTGTGCTTGTCGGACCAAACATTGTTTGAACACGTCCATGATACCATGGCAGATTACCTGCACGCTATAGTGTCTCTCGATGCACTTACCATCATCCTACTTACTACTGGCTGATGCAGAGACACTGGATGACAAACTCTTTGCAGCAACGATTGCACTGGTGACTGCATGCACTCGACACGAAGCGACAAGGCGCTAAGTATGGACCACGCGGTCCATATGACCAACAGAAGTTTTCGACCATCTCCTTTACATCTCTTCAACAATTTCAAAACTTGGTTCCGGTGATTTAGTGAGGCGTTGTGGTGACCGTACGCGCTTTCTTCCTGATCCATGTTGGCATCAGCGTTCGCGATATCGAGCACTATGTAGTGCTTGTCGCGTTGATCTCACCCAGTCAGCCGCATTTTGGCACCTCTCCCATATCAAATCCGAACTCGATACAATATACCGAGTGCGAAATAAAATGGCCAAATAAAATCGATATTGACTAGGGCTAAAAGCAAGAAGTAAGCTGAGCCTGGTCTAAATTTGTCACGGCGAAATCTGAAGGCACGTTGAGGAACATAGTAAGGCTGGAAAGTAATGAGTAGTTGACTGACCCCCTGGCTGAAGATATCAAGATATACAACAATCCATCTATCAGCAAATCGGATTTGCTTATCGACAGTCCCCATGGTAGGTTTCCGACTAGTCCATTTTCTGGGACACTATTCAAGAAAACTTACCCGTTCTGATCCAGATACAATAACTATCTTTAACGTCTATGACTTGAGACTACGGAGATACATACTTTAGAGGTATGCTTTCACAGACTGCCAGCCGCATTTCCGAACTACGGATACATGATAGCAACCACTAACCACGCCAATGTGAAGCTCCCCAACTTTGGTTGCACAGTGTGATCACAAAGGCGTCCTATCATGCAGACGTGGCGTTCCCTTGATCAACGTCCATAAAGAAGACACTGCCATCCATATAGTTCGTACCTCTAGCGCCACAAAACAACACATGATTCTGCCATCTGCCACGCTGGCGGAACATCGTTCTGCCAAGTTCTGCCAGTTCTGCCAGTTCTGCCCACAACACTACGCCCCCCTCCCCCCGCTCATACTATATCTAGTACTAGTATGAGTCGTAGTTGGGTCAAAGTATTATTTTTCCCTCCTACCTTTTCGTTCACAAGCACTCGTCACAATGGGTACCGAAAAGACAGACACCGCTACTGCCTATCACACTAGTAGCAGCAGCAAAGGCGAATTCTCTGACGTCTTAGACCATGATGGAGAGTCTTTTCAGGGGCCCTCGCGGCACACCCTGCAACGTAAACTCAAGAATCGTCACATCGCCATGATCAGGTATGTGTTGAAATTTCTTTTTTTCTGGCGAACTCTCACCTCTGTCAAGTATTGGCGGTGTTATCGGTACTGGTCTTTTTGTTGGAACCGCAGACTCTCTGAGTTATGGAGGTCCCATTGGTCTGTTGCTCGGCTACATTGTCATGAGCTCCGTCGTCTATTGCGTCATGATCAGTCTGGGAGAAATGGTATGCTTGCTGCACGCCCCAGACGTAGTTCATGTACCTGATCTTCATTTCCGTAGATTGCTTACCTGCCTATAGCTGGTGGTCATATCAAACTGGCCGAGCGCTTCGTTGACCCTGCGTTCTCTTTTGCCATGGGTTGGAATTACTGGTATGACTGGACGATTAGCTGTACATCCCATTCTTCCTCGTTCATTTCTCACAATTACTGACCTCTTACCTTTTAGCACCTGGTACTTGAATTGAATGCATTTTCTTAGCGTGCCTGCTGACATTCTTTTATCATCTCAGCTGAGATTTCTGCTGCTGCATTATTGATAAATTATTGGAATTACACCGTCAATGATTCAATATGGATCGTCACATGTCTTGCCGTCGTTCTCGCCATTAATATGCTCGGTGCTGGCGCTTACGGCGAAGCGGAATTCATATTTGCGTGCGTCTACTACCGTGTAATATATCCCGATCTCCCATTCTGAAATTACTATAGATCCGTCAAGGTCATCACAATCACTGGTGTTATCATTCTCGGTATAGTCATCGATTTAGGTGGTCCAAACCATGACCGCATTGGATTCCGCTACTGGAAAAATCCTGGACCATTCGTTCAGTATAGTGGCATCGAAGGTGCCGAAGGACGATTCCTCGGCTGGTGGGCTGTTTTGACGCAGGCTGCTTTCTCATTCATTGGAACCGAGATTGTTGCTGTACGTTATATTCTAGGTTTATCAATCAATATATTGCTTACAAATCTCACTTAGATTACTGCTGGAGAAGCGAAGAATCCTCGTCATACCTTGCCCAAAGCCATCCGTCGAGTATACATCCGTATATTGCTTTTCTACATCGGTGGAACACTCATAATTGGTTTGCTTGTACCATCCAACAACCCATTACTCGAATTGAACACTGGAACCGCCCGGTCTCCATTCGTCATTGCTATCGAAACAGCTGGAATTAAATCTCTTCCTTCAGTGAGCCGCACATGGCCCTCCTTTCTACCTAGAAATTTCTCATTGCTATTCAAAACAGATTATTAATGCTTGTTTGTTGACCTCGGCATGGTCCGCATCTTCTAGTTCCTTGTATACTGCATCTCGTGCGATTTGTATGTACACTTATCTGGCAGCCAACTCATCGAAATTAATACACTTTGTAGATGGTCTTGCAGCCTCAGGAAATGCTCCCAAGATCTTCCTTAAAACAACGCGCAACGGGTTGCCTTACGTTGCCGTCCTCTTCTCCGCCGCTTTCTCCCTTCTTGCTTTCATGGCTGTGTCCAGTAGTGCGGGCTCAGTATTTAAACGATTTTCCAACATGTCAGCCATCGCTGGCCTTATGACGTGGTTTGGTATTTCGGTGACGTACCTCCGCTTCTACAAGGGCATGCAGGTTCAAGGCATCGACCGGAAGACGCTCCCTTACTACACAAATCTTCAGCCATACGCAGCGTGGTGGGGAGTAGTTACGACGATCACCATCTGTTTCGTATGTCGACTTTTCATGTCTGCTAATATTGTTTAGACTAACTATTCTTCTACTCTCTAGTTTAGCGGATGGGGCGTCTTCCTCAAAGGAAAGTGGAATAGTGTAACTTTTGTCACTGACTACATCCTTCTCATTACCTGGCCAATTATGTACTTTGGTGCTCGCCTCTACTATGGCACAAAGCCCGTTGCTGCGGAGGACATGGACTTTAAGAGCAATATAGCTGACATCGTGGCAGACTCATATGAGGAACCCCCGGCGAAGAACAAGATGGAAGCACTCTGGCGGTGGCTGGTGAGCATAGCTGCTCTGTTTGGCAATTTTCATCACTAACGTCACCTCACTCATAGATGTAATTTACTAATTATACCTGTGGCAATAATACCGTTGATTATCGTCAAACATATCACTTTTTTCCAAGTCGTGTTCCTCCCAGAGAACGAAGTCTATACCATTTCAGGTAGAGAGAACTCACTTCTCCCTCACTACTCGTACCTTTGATATTAGCAGTGGCAGCAGCAACTCACAGAAGATGAACGTTTAAGCAACGTTTAGCCGAAGAGGATGGAGAACATCGGCGCACGGCTAGTGTTGTGGGCAGAACTGGTTGTGCCTGGCAGACGGCAGAACTCTGCGAAAAATTGCTGGCAGAACTTAGCAGAACCCAGGGTTGGCAGAGAACTAGTCCAACTTTAAAAATGTAAAAACATTCACGGTGGCTGTCCAGTGTCATCCCTATAGGCCTAATCAATGATAGCTTTGAGCATCTCCACAAAAGCTCGGCCGTTACTTCTGGGAATGCAAGTACTGTGGTCACCTCGACAATTTTCCTGGTCCCAAAATCTAAGGTCATGACAATAATCGGCATGGTGGGCCGTTCTTCAGCTCAAAGAAGCTATGTACCAGCGCGAGCAGATGAAAAGAAGACTAAGCATATACCGATTCCCATGCAGAGATCATTCACCGGCGATGGCGAAGGGCGTTAGTTCGGAGTTCGCTCTGCGCAAACCAGAGTCGATACTTTCTCAGTCTCTGGACTGTTTAGAGCATTTGCGAGTTGCTTGCAAATTGGTTGACGTTCCACAAGTGATGATTGATTGTGCTATCTACACAAGATGCTCACCCGGAACTAGGAAGAAGAGGGAAAACATCAACTTGGTGTCCAACAGTGACCATCAGGAAAACCCCAACTTACTTAATCTTGCTTAATCAACTTAGCCACATTTGTTTCCTCTCTCATGCATCATCTACCTAGTAAATTTTGTATTTTTTTAGTGTAACCTGTAACAAAATATGTATGCTAATATGACTGAACAACTTTTTCCCGAATATGTCAAATTTGAATTTCTAGCAAAGTAGGCTAAGTCACTAAGTACGACTTAAGTCTGTTTAAGGCAAGCTTAAGTAAGTTGGGGTTTTCCTGATGCAGCAGTCAGTCACGGTCACCAACATGATAGCGTGTGCTCGAAGCAGCAGTGTTGAGATTTAAGGCATATGCACCATCACATGGACTGTCCCGTACAGTGACTAGCGACTGGTCAACATAGCGGATCCGGAGAGTATAACTACTAGTAGCGTAGTAATAAAGTAATACGAGCAGAATATAACATGTGACGGACATGCTCGCCTCCTTAGTGAATCTATTTATCTGTTCAAAGAGTATGAGAACTCGAGATTCTCAACAAGCACAGGTAGAGATGACGACGGAGGCCCGTGAGGGAGGCCGCAATAGCGAGCGCTGACGACCAGTTCTAAGTCTCTGTCGCGCTTGGAGGTGCTTGCCGGTGGCTTTCGCTGAAAGTAGAGTGAATGTCCGTATGAATTGCAACCACCCAGTGGTACTGATAAGTTACACTACAATTATAGTTCAAATACACCGGGAGCCTGTGCAAATCGCAAGTGTCATTTACTCGATAATCCAGCGTTTGGAATGTCCAGCAGTAGAGTCACTCCCGACTCGGCTTGAAGTAGTGCTCGTTGAACTATATGTGCTACCGTTGGACACTTGCCGCTCAACGGTGTTGTAGGATCCGGAGGTTGAGGCTAAGAATGCATCAGGCATGGAGAACTTCTCCCATATAGGAGGAGCGAGTATCTGAGAGGGGGAAACTTCTTGTCCTGCGCCGAACGTGGCGGAGAACGTGGACATTCTCCTATCATCTGTTTGGAACGCGACCTTTTCTAGGTCATCTCCGTAGTTCACGGGTACAAAGTCTTCTGGGATTGGCTCGTCTGCATTGACTGTACCAACCGTATAAGCTCACAGGCGAGAGCAACAAATAGTGCAAACTCACGATAGCGTATAAGCCCCTTGCCGAAGTTAATACGACATATGATGCCCAAGATGAACGCAACAAGAGTCAGGAAGACAGATGAAGAGGTCATCACCCCGAAGAATGTCCAGGTCATGAACGTCCACCGGAATGCGCTGGAATCGAACATTGCTGCCCAGCCTGCAAGGTATCCGACACTGAGCGCAAGAAATACGAGCATAGGTATTTTGAGTTCTCGGCGCACACCATGCCAGCCCTGTGAGAGGTGTAAGTTACTATAGAAGCAATCACAAAGTGAAGTCTGACTGCAGTTAACCAAGGAAGTAAGAGCTACACAAAAATGTAGTCAGTGAATGGTTTTGGCGGCATGTAACTTGTTCACTCACGATGAGAGTGACGATCAACAGTGGTTTGAATTCAGGTGAGGTGTCAAGACGCCCGATGTTGCCATTGCAAAGTTGATCCAGCCAAAGTGAGATGGAGACCACCATGAAAAAGAGCGATATCTGGATAACGATGGAGAGCACGAGCACAAATTTATAGACACGACTGATAACGATTGAAGCCCCGACGCGCTTGAAAGTCTGCCAGCCAAAGAGCTGGATGCAATCGAAGTAAAATACATGAGTGTTGTGAACTTGCAAACCAGGATCGAGACTGCATCACCTTGGCAAGCTTCCACGATAGAAAGGAAGAAACCAACAGCGCAACGGCGTTCAGCACCAAGCTTGCAATTTCGGCAACAAAGCGACTTTTCCAATATGACGGTAAAAGATTGATCGGATTGCAAGCTCCATTCGTTGACAGCCTCGAAAAGTCACCATGAAATTGAGCAGTGTTAAATATCTGATAACCTGCCCATCCAGTAGCCAGCATATGTGTCAAAAGAGTTGCGATGCTATGGTCCTCTGAGTACTCTCGCGTCAGACAAATTAGTGCAGCACTCACGTATGAGGGACAGATTCGTTCAGGATCTAGTACAACGTTGTGACAAATGGATGAAGAAAGAACAATATTGTACTTACAGCGACGATAGACATTCCGAGAACCCATATTTGAAAAGCAACGAAGGTCAAATCCTCCCGCTCTGTCTGCTGAAGGCTTCGATGACGTTACATACATAGTGATAGGCTATGGGGAAACGCTTCTTACATTTGAACTGGATAATTCAGAGCCCAAAGGCACTGTTGATCTAAAACAGCTACTTGATTGTTCCAGCCATATCCGTTCACAATGACTTGTGAGGTGCCATTGATCTCGACGGCTTGGATATCTTGAACGAGGTTGCGTCGATTCAGCTGCTAGTGGCGCGTTAGCTGACTTCTACCCTGAATGGATTACTGACCATTCTAGCAGCACTCTCTCTGCGTACCTTATTAGTAGCGCTTGAAGCTATCGCCGATGAAGTAGTGGTATGCGATGAAGACACAGGGTTTGTGAATGCTGTTGAACTCGAAGTTGCGGTAATCGTTGGTCTTGCAGATGTGATAAAACTGGACATCGCAGAGTAGCTTGAACTCATTGAACTAGTGGACACCTTCGACCCCGAGGACGCGACAAGAGTCGAGATCATGGAACTTGACGTCCCCGTTGAATATGACGTAGTAATCATGGGGGCTAATGCATTTGCGGATGTCAGCGAATTGTCCCCAACTGTCATACCATTCCAGATTACTTGGCAAGAGCTAGTGCTGAGGTCTGCTGGGATACTGTCGCAAAGACGAAGGTCACTCCCCAAAACATAGAATGCGCTCGAATCGGTGGTGTCTCCTTGTCTGGTGATGGAAGCCAAGAATTCAGCAGCCCCGACATTGGTACGAAAGGCCTGTCCTTGAAAGATGATCTGGAGAACACAATGAAGGATGGAAAATATGAAGTAAAAAGTGGTTGTGCGTGAAAGAGTTATCCGATCCCACTGTTTCGAAGAGTCAGTTTAGTTGTACGGACAGCATTGTTACAATGCTTCAGGACGCCTCATTCAGTGGCAGGCTGCCTCTGATAATTTGTACCATAAAGTCACTGCAAGAACTTACCAGTAACTTTATTTTGGATGGGATAGGGATAATATTCCATAGTTGCTTAATGCGCATGATGGACAACCAGTTGTAGAACTGAACTGTTTTCAGATACTTTGTTGCCCAACCTGGATAATTCATACCGAAATCACGGATAAATGAACGACGATGTCACTAGGACAATATGTTTGGTAGGAATTCGTTCAAGAAGCAGAAGAGCAACGGGAGAAGGTCGACCGAACTGCTACAACGGTCCTGCCGGGGTGCAGAGGGAAGAATGAAAGTCAGAAAGAGGAATTGATCAAGGAGATATTCTCACAGTCGGCACTTCAAGCACTTTTTGACCTCACTGCCGCCAAGAGGCAGGACAAGTTGATCACACAGCATCTCTACAGCTTGAAGCGCCAATGATAGTTCTCATGAATGTCACTAGTAAAACCTTGACAACACTATGACCTGGACAAATATAGCATGCATAGGAAAGCCTTCTGATATCTTTGATTCATCTGCGGCGTGATCGCAGAAGTAGCAACAGAACCAGAATGTTTATTTGAAAATTTCACAAGGAAACCTTGATATATGATCCTGGGATGGCAGTGTCAAAGGCCGTGAGGGTGAGTAAAGGGTGTCCAGAGTGGGCTAGCTGGCGTACTCACAACAGATGAATAATTCTATAGTAGCGGTCTGCATTGACGAGGCTTGAAGTTGTGGTGCCGTAGGAAGGAAGCCTCATGCTAAGGTCAAGTACTAGTAAGTATGTACTTACTGACACCGAAACGTCCTTCAACAATTTCAGCTGCATCTTGCATATGCTCAGCGATCTCAAGCTCAGGATGGAATGTTAAGTTACGGAACAGCGCATTAGTTAGCAGTTACATGTAGTGCTGCGGGTAAGACAGTGGATTTGAAAGTCCGGTCTTACGGTTAACCTGCAATCCCTTCGACTCGGATGATCTGTTCCACCGTATCATGTCACACTAAGTCCACCACTTTATCATTATCATTTTTTATTTGCAAGAGCTGGGCAACGCAAGATTCGACCGCCCATACCGTCCTAACGAGTTCATAATAACGTATAACATTGTATCCGAGCCCTCTTATCATCATGGTAGGTTCTTGCATCACTATACTTCATCTTTGACATCAATCCCTGTTTAGACTGTATGCACGGATTGCGGAGGGACTGTTATTGAGTACGATGCAGCTGCCGGTAATGGCTTTTGTGTCAAATGCGGAACGGTGGTGGAGGAGAACACCATAGTTTCAGAGGTCACTTTTGGAGAAACCTCTGCTGGCGCGGCCATGGTTCAGGGATCATACGTCGGTCAGGGTTCAAGTAAGTGTTGGTCATAGATGTTCTGCGGACAAAGAGCCTCAGTCTACCTCCGCCAGCACATGCTCGCATGTCAGGTCCATTTGGTAATAGAGGAAGTAATGAGTCCCGCGAGCAAACTATCGCGAATGGTGAGTCGTTGTTTTTATCGTAGTCATAACAGACCTCATGATTCACTAGCTAGCAGAAAGATTCAGAACTTTGCTGGCGCTCTGCGTTTATCTGAAATTGTTTGCCTTGCAGCAACGCGTCTTTACACCCTCGCCGTTGAACACAAGTTTACTAAGGGTCGCAAAAGCAATAATGTCGCTGCTGTCTGTCTATATGTTGCCTGTCGACAAAAAGAGACACGTAATTATATGCTTATAGACTTCTCTGATCTTCTACAGGTAAGGAATTATGTATTTGTCGATACAAGATCTTATCTCTATTTCCAGGTCAATGTCTTCGAGCTGGGCCACATATACCTCCAACTCGTTCAGACTTTGAATTTAAAGCTCCCTCTCGTCGACCCTTCTCATTACATCTCCCGTTTCGCAGCGTTGCTCGAGTTTGGCGAAGAAACTCATAAAGTTGCCACTGATGCCGTTCGACTTGTACAACGCTTTGACCGTGATTGGGTCACTCGGGGCCGTCGTCCAGCAGGAATTTGTGGTGCGGCGCTCCTCCTTGCCGCCCGCATGAACAACTTCCGGCGTTCAGTCGAAGAGATTGTACAAGTGGTGAAGATCGCTGATACCACACTAAAGAAACGATTAGATGAATTCAAGAAGACTCCTAGCGGAGGGCTCACGCTTGCCGACTTCAGGACGGTGTGGCTAGATGAAGAGATGGATCCTCCTGCCTTCACAAAAGGAAAGGAGAAAGAAGAGAAAGAGCGGGAAGAGGCTCTTGGTGGGCTGAAAGACAAACCCAAGACACAGAAGCGGAAAGGCAAACGGAAAAGGAGAGGTAGCGAATCTGAAGGGGAACGGGTGGAACTGGCACCGCCTGTGGAGGAAATCCCACCTCAGATACCCATAATTGACCCAGCCCTGTTTAATCAGGGTATCCTTTCCGGAACATCTGAACCGGCGCCGCTGTTTTACCCGGACGAAACCGAGGAAGTCTATGCCAATATTGATCCTGCTTTACGACCGGCGTCAAATATGATATCTCCCGAACTTGATTCGTCAACAGTGGCTGCCATCGATGAAACTGTTAATCAGGCCCTCGCTGATGAAGTTGCCAGTTTCTTGCAAAATACGCAGGGCTCACTTCTTCTTGACGCTCTGGACGAAGCTGAGCAGCGCCGACAGGCCCAGTTCGCCGAAGTCGATGATTTACTAGGATTGGATGAGGACGAGCTTGACAAATTTCTCCTCACCGAAGAGGAGGTAAAAATCAAGGAACGCGTCTGGGTGGAGATAAACCGGGATTATTTGGAGGCGTTAGCTGGTATGATTTCTTGATTATTTATGTCCATAACTGAGCGGTCACTTGTTGTAGCCAAGGGCGAACCAGCTGATGCCAATCAACCTAAAAGTCGGAAAGTTCGTATCATGCCATGCACAATATTTTCTTGTGAACTTTGCCTTTATATACTGATACGTTTCGTATTCTTCAGCGTCGCAAAACCAGCACGAAACCGCGTGACGACTCAATGCCGTCTGGAAATACAGCAGCCGAATCAGTGCGGAATCTCATCAAGAAAAATTACAAGTACAGTAAACGGATCAATTACGATGCACTCAAGGACCTTTTTGTTGATGGACAACAAGCTCCATCCCTCGATGACAAGGACAATTTATATACTATGGATGATAAGAGCGACGGAGAAGGCATGATAGTTCTTGAGGAAGACGGAGGGGGCATTGGAAGTCAACGACCAGCGCCCCTGCCGCGTCGAGAAGGTGGGGAAGGAGAGGATGACGAGAGTGAAAAAGGCGATGATCATGTCACTGATGTGGGATGGGAAGAAGCGTACGAGCAAGAAGTCTAAATGATATCCTTCACCTAGTGTCAAGGATCTGCATGCTCGTCGTAGATGTGTGCAAGAATCCAAATAATACATGTGCCTCTGTATTGTAAAATAAACGTAAGTCGTCCAAGGAGCAGACGTTTTGAATGTGGTCTAGGGGGGTTCCGTGGGACGCATCTAACATGCTAAAAGTGCAAGCGAAAGGAAGAAACGGACTAGATATCCTGCTGCTCTATGATGGTGCAGTCTGCTGTTCCTTGGCCTCCCACATTGTTCTGAGCACGTCCGAAAATCCAGCTTTACCTGAAATAGCGTTCTGCTCGAAGCGCTGAACCAACCAATCCTCGAACTTGTCTGTCATACTCCTCCACATGGCCATCCGCGCCTGTATCTCTGCTGTCTGTATGAATGATGTCTGGGTGGAGGACATCGGTCTATACTGTATTCGCTCATAGCAAGTAGCGAATTGGGACAGCGAGAGGTTGACGGATGTGATCGTCGCGGTTTGCGTTGAGGGATCTATGAAGGATATCTCACGAACAAAAGCATCCTCCGAGCCACCAAAGAGCTAAAACGATCGAATACAAGAATTAGTCACATGTCGTGTGCGGACATGAGAACGGCTGACCTTGACTATCCATGAGGGCGCCTTTTGTTTGCACCCAAGGACACGCTCCGTCCGTATTACTCCAGTTAATGGATCAATCGTACGATCGAGAACATCGACGTTAACGACGTGAGTACAATGTGGGTTCGGGTATTTGTGCCACATTCCAATGACGACGTGAGACCATGAGTGACTGGAAATTACATAGTGAACACGCTGTAGAAAATTGCGATGAACAGAAGATACTCACTCATACTTGAAAGATTGGGAGAAGATGTGCATGACGGGGCGGAAGTGGGAGAGGTGGTCGACTGGCTGTGCGGAGGAAACAGGACGACGATATACCCGGCACTGCACCTCCACTGTATAAATTTGCGATTGGTTCCGGCACGCCGCGGCATCTCGGCACCTTACCCGCGTCCGAATAAAATCTCTTACTTATTTATCTGATCGGTCACTGATTAGATAGGCACCTGCCTTAGACTTATCGGTGTGGTAATTATGATAATGATATCTGCCTTCTACAGTCAAAAATATTACTACATACTTCTATTTGCATCCGCGATAAGTCGCAGTTCGGCGAGACGCAGCTTCATCTTCGGTCTACGGCAAGATGTGAAAAGACTTTTCAACCTGGCCACTAAGCAGGGCACTCACATTTCAAGCAGTTTCGTCTCCAGGTCCTGCTTCTCTTCTTGAATGGCCAAACGCTTCTCTGCATCCAATTGCGTGCTACAAGGACAGCTAAACTGGCATTTGCAGTAAGAGATGAAAATGAGACGCACAAGATATATCCGCCCTGACCATCCAGTTGCAAGATCGTCGAGTGATACTTCCACAGTGATGGACGATGAGATACGGTGAGTAGCGTAATCCCGAGGGCAGTTGCCTGTTCCATCATTGTACCCTCCATGTCAGGAGGGACGAGTGAGGTTGCTTCATCGAGAATGGCATACTGCAGCCATCTTATTAACGTTCAGTGACCAGAGCAAGGTATGTGATTACCTTGGGTCTGTGATAGAAGAGTCGCGCCCAAGCGATCTTCTGCTTGTCGCCTCCGCTAAGCGCATCTCTCCACTCGTGCGCAACATCCCAACCCCCTTCTCGCTCAACGATGCTTCCCATCTGGACCCTTTCAAGTACCGCAAGGAGGTCCGCATCTGTCACTCCACCTAGGACACGTCTTATAATTAGATTTACAAACGCGATATTATTCACCCACAGGCCTCCATATCTTGTTGCGAGTGCGGATAAATAACTTGGTCACGGAGAGTTCCGACAGAAAGATAAGGTCGTTGGGGTATGAGCATGAAATTTGACGCGGGGGGCTTCCGAACAATACCGCCTGGAGACATGGTGAAACTAATGCATCCCCCGAATATATCAAGCTCACCGTAAACAGGCCAAAGGCCGCCCAGGATGCGGAACAGCGAAGACTTCCCAGAACCTACATTATAGTGAGGCCACAACGATCACGAAATCAGTGATGCATACCATTTGGACCAACAATCAACATGTGTTCCTTCAAATTTTATTTAGCATAAGACACCATACATACGCGTCGCATATGATCTTACCCCAAGTTTGACATGGAAGGTTAAACTTCTCAAAAGAATGTCACCATTTGGCGTAATGATTGGGACGCTCTCGAATTGAATATCGTCCGAGAGGAGAACTTGTCCACGACTTCGCAAAACTAAGGGTGTTACATTCAGTGCTTGCGTTACGGGTGGACTAGTCACGTACTCTCTGCATTCTCTCCCTCAGTTGCACCGCTCACAAGACTCTTCTGGAACTTGCCCTTTCGGATGTCTGACATAGTGTCAAGCAGAAGGGACACTCGTGAGGTATAGCCCGCGAGTTCCGCCAGGTCTTTATACGAGTACATCACGCGACCTATGGCATCTATGGATGCATGTCAGCAGTAAAATATGAAGTATCAAATGATTTCACCTGATGAAGAAAGAAGTAGTCTTCGGTTTGTCACGAAACCTGTAGAACGTTGAGCGACTTGGTATTGGAGTGACTATTATAACTCGCCTTCTGTGCGACTACCTAGGTCAAAATTTGATATTCCAGGCAGCTTGAAGAAAACAGGGATTGCACAGACGACAAGCTAAAATAATTGTTATGTTGTTCCAACTCACTGCTTGACGAATACATACCCCAAAGCTACCCCACAGCCACTTGACAATGCCTTCTTCCGCACACCCGTACCACCATCTCTTATTCATGACTCCTTGTTCATGTTGAACGAGTGCAGCATATTCGCGTTCGATTAATTGCTTCTCCGTCTCTTCGCCACCAAAAAAGGCAATCTCCTCTGCGAACTCGGAGAGGCGAGAATGTGTATGTCGAAGTGAGCCGGCCAATGCAGCTGACCGAGCTGTGTATGTCCCAAATGAGGGAGTTAGAACACGTACTGCATTTGTGTTAGCAGCGAATTATATGCGCTCAATATAAATTGAACTTACGTAGCGCAGCAGATGCCTGAACTAAAACAGTGAGAAGGACAAGACCCTCTGCCCCTACATTCTGTGATAATTGGTAGTTGTAAAGTATCACATCAAGGATTGGCTTCGCAAGGTTCGCGTAAATTACGGCAAGGTGCGTGGAGAACCGTTGTATATCGTGAGTTATCATCCTGTTCAAATCTGAGATCGATGATGTATTATTTGATTCAATAGTTCACTCACTGATCAGCATTCTTTATCCTGTCGTCAAGATTAGCTGGATAACAAGAGTCACTGAGATATTCCACTGAGAGAGTAGGCAGAACTAACAAAGTTTATAATAAACTTTGCCCTCTGGGCCATCTGCTTCATCGCCAAGGTACATCTTAAGCACTTCTTTAGTCAGTCGAGTACGATATGCCAGAGCGAGCTTATTCTGGATGTAGCTAAGCCAGCTATTCGTCCAAGTAGCTGGAATTGCAACCAGTAACCATCGTATGATGTTGAGGAGAAATTGGAGAGACTGTCCGCGTACGAGAGACGCTACAATTCTATGAGGATCATACATGACACTTTCAAAACACGCTGATTTCAAGTTGTTTGAAGAACGTACTTTCCATCTAAAGCGGCAACATACAACGAGATGGCAGTGCGGAAAATGAGGAGACTTGAATGCATGAAAAGCAACAGGGCCTCCTTGGAGCGTATGTTTGGTATCACAATACGCAAGATCATGCCCAGCCTTTGATAAAATACGGCATCAACCTTGCGGGCTAATATGAGTGAATGGCCGGGATCAAGGCAAGAGAAGCGTACGGCAACACGGGCAGGCTTTCCGTTCTTTCGATCTGCCACGTCCTTCTCTTTCTCCTTCCTTGTGGTTTGGTGGGCGGCAAGACCACGATATGCAGCCGTTAGCACATACAGAACGAAGCCAACCGTGAGCCCTCGTTGTACCAGAGGCCGGTGCGCGGCATACGCCTGCACGAGTTGTTTTACTCGTTGATCCAATGGGCGAAGCTTCGAGGTTACCATCCTACCTCGGGTGCGATTACCACTCTGCACAGTGACAAGTAGCCTGAAGCGCGCCTACCAAGAAGTGTAGGGTATTGGTGGCATGTGATATTGAGTTTATTAAGCTTATTAATATATTTTTGCCTCCGTACAACTTGACAGTACTATATTTAATTTTTTGGGCTAGGATGACTAAGCAGGTGCCTTCGGGGGTTGCTTGGCGCTGACCCTACTATCACTGGCGGGGTTTTTCAAAATGGGTATTGGGTTTCAAAATTCGCTGATCATCATATCGCGAGCTGCACACTGCATAAAAATATTCTGTGATTTTAGCCAGTGTTCTCTAGTGTCTATAGAATACAGCTGTGAAGATCTTACAGAAAACATCGAGCAGTTGTGTTCACAATAAATCATCCATTGACATATGTCACACCACTGAGCGTTAATGATTGTAATGCTACAATCTGTATACTTTGTCAAACAGGAAAAAAAACCAAGGGAGAACAATCTCTGTCCCTATACAAATAATGCTTACCACTGCGATTTCTATATCGCGATTGAATGAGGGCAGAACCATGTTATCAGTGAATTTGTTGAAAGAGTGGATGCCGCACCGTGACTATAGTGCAGCATCAATTATAATCTCCGCTCAAAAACTGTACATCAAGTAAGACCGACAGGGGAGGTGTATCTTATAGCAGCCTCCAGATGGGCCAGGTCAATTTATTCCGCGAAATCTCAGGGACACGCGCGATAGTCAACAACGGGCAGCTATCGAGGAAGAAAATCTGCCGCCATCACGACCCGTTGCATCAACATCTTCTCACACGCTTGACGACAATGAACATGAACCTCCACTTGCGCTCGGCGCACATCCTCTTCTGCATTCGGCAAGCTGTCATCTGCAATTATGTAATACACCTTATCAAGAACATCCTCACCTCGAATCATTTCAACCTCAACATGATCCCTTTTATTATCCACCTTATTATCACTCACCAGCGCAATGACCTGGACTGTGAGTTTAATCCTCGTTGGTATATATCCTACATCCAGTCTTTGATTATACACTTTTGTGAACATACTCACTTTCATTCTATTTCTATCATATCCACTCCACTTAATGCACATACATACATTTAGATTTACTTACTGTGAATAGCTGGTTTATACAATGTACATGCACGAATCCATAGAATCTTTGATTTCCTTCGAACGCTCGTTCAGATATCGAGATTCAAAATTCTGCCGAGCGTGCCGTTGCGGAGCTACAAAACTCCAGTGTGACATTGCTGTGACAAATTTTGAAACAGTATATCCAGTCCCTGCCAAACTGACATCGCACAACCGGATTCCTTCCGCCGCTCAAACATCATCGCAAAAAAATCAGATTTCACCTGGGTGTGATAGAGCACGATATTTCCCACAGGTCTGTCAAGAAGCGGAAAAAAAAGACCTCTTGACGAGTGTGCTGCGCATCAAACATTGAAAACTTTTGAAAAACCCCGCCAGTGATAGTAGACAGTGCGCGCTCGTCATGGTCGGAGGTCTGTGGGAAGCGAGGAACCCAGCGAGAAGGGAGATGTTTCTAGAATGACAGCCAAGCAATGATATTATCGGGTTGGCAAGCGCGTGCTGTCACGGTCATCATTGAAAATAACCAGTACCCCATGAGCCCACGGGGCACCGTTTCCCGGTTTTTAAAAAAAGCACAGACTTTTTGTTGTACACGAATCAGCACACGGAGACACACCAAATATGTTTTTGATGTGGAAAAAATCGCGCCTCGGGGCAGGATGTATCCTACGTAGCATATGTACTGGTATACAGCTAGCTGCAATTTTTTCGTATCGAAAACGACTCGGAAACAAATATTGTTTTCCTCCGAACGAACGACGGCAGACTCGGGGGACCTCACAGCCACAATTTCCTTTTGCCATGGATCATCAATATTCGGCAAGTTTCATCCGAAACACCAAGGAGGCTATGGATAGCGAATTGCAATAACTCTTGACTCTTTGTCTCCTCTGACTAGATACAGTCACCGATACCACCCGGCGCCATGTCCGTGAACGATACCTACCGAGCATCCAGCCCAGAGCATGAGCCAGAGCTCACTGCAGAAACTACCGCTGAGCAAATTGTAGAGCTCAAGGAATCTATACCCCCCTCCTCTGCACCTATCATCGCGATTGATCTTGATGACGTGTTGAGCTGTACCAACGCTGTCGTAGCGCAATGTACGTGTATTCTACTCATCTACATGAGGAGTACTGGGTGCAAGCTAGTTTATTCAAGGGCACAACGAGACTTATGGTACCCAGATGACCACCAATGATTTTTACTGTAAGTCATGAATTGACATCCCTGTGCATCATGGTCACGTTGTACAGACTACTTCTACTGGAAGGTAAAAAGAACGTATTTTATTGATGCAGTGATTGTTCATATCCAATCTGTCTGTTCCTCCAGAATCCATTTTGGGGAACGCCTCACACCACGCAAACAAAAGTCAAAACATTCTACACCAGCGGTCTGATGGCGCAGACCCAGCCCGTACCTGGTGCACGCGAGGGCGTAGAGGCCTTGTGTGCGCTGGGCTATCGCTTGATCATCGTTACGGCTCGAGGCAAAGATTCCCATGCTGACAGCTGGGCCTGGGTCGAACGTTGGTTCCCTGGATGTTTTCATAGCATGATATGCACCGGCAAGTTTGCGAATTCTCCAAAGCATGCGACAGATGGCGTAGACGCCTTGACGGGTGCACAAAAGGAACATGAAGTCGCCACGCGGTTGAGCAAAGCGGAGGTCTGTATTGACATTGGAGCCGAACTGCTGATCGACGACTCGATGGAAAATGCGTTGGCCTGCGCATATCATATTCCATTAGATGGAGTAACAAAACCTCCCCCGGTACTCCTTTTCGGCTCATATGAGTGGAACAAGCGATTATCAGTGGCTTCAGATGAGTGCGACGATATGGTTTATGAAGTCCGTTTACAAAGAGAAGGGGTAAAGTTCCTGGAAGAGGATGTGAGGCGAGGGGACAAGGCATTGGAGCAAGCAAACACCCATCTTTCGGTGCGCCGGGCTAGAGACTGGAGTGAGGTTGTGCGATATGTCGCGGAGTTGAAGGGCGGCCGTTTGTAGCTTCATGAATGCTGTAGGTGGCTATTCATTCATTTCTAACCTCGGTTGCTGCTGATAGGTCCTACTCATTTTTCAAGCATGAAGCACTAGGTTGTATCTCATGCAGATCATTCTTTGTACAGGTTACACTAGACCATTCTTTGTACCGCCGTCTTATCACGCAACTTCTCTGATCTTTCCCGTTTCAACCTCGTACACCCATCCAGTGATATTTCCTTCTTGCAGAACAAGCGGGTGATTCTTCAAGAACGCGACATCGTCTTTCACACTCCTATCTAAATCAGGGAAGGGTCCAAACTGCAGGTCGTTTACCGCCTCGGACACATTGGTATCTCCAGGATGTGCATTTATGACCTTGGATCGAAGTTGCTCATCGGAAAAAGTGAGCATTCCACAATCAGAATGGTGAATGACGAGCACATCTTTAGTTCCGAGGAGTCTTTGTGAAACGATAATGGAACGAAGGGATTCTTTGCTAAATATAATGGGAACTCATTCAGCAGAGCATAGGTGTTGTAATATGTTTTTGGCGTACGCAAGGCCCCCAGCATTCCGAATAATGTGTGCTTCCCCTAAATTCAGGCCGAGGAACTCTTCAGGACTGTTCGACGGTCACTGTCTGCGGACACGCCTCCTTATCAATTACAACTCACTTAAGGCGAGCATCCATGCAAGTCACTATCGGTGAGTCAGCTGAGCTCTCACAGGTGTGCTGGCAAGTACTTACCGACAACAAGATGCTTGGATGGTGGAATGCTTAATCTGCCATTATCGCCGAAGGTGGCAGCGTAGCTCTCGTTTGCTTGCTTAAAGTTAACCTCAGCCATGAGAGTTCAAGATAGAGATGGAGTTCTGTAGCGTGGGGTATTACTCTGTGAACAGTTCGTCTTCTCCACTCATTTTGACGCCATCGAGTGTCTTTAGTATGGGAAGAAGGACTTGCGATTAGATAACCACGTGGGCATAATCTGAATTTGAATTTGAAATTATGTGGTCAGCCTACAACGTGGTGACTGAGATTCAGTTTAGCTCAGAGACCATCCGCAATGTCCTCACAGAAGATACAGCGCTTGCTTGAACCGCCCAATGTATCTGCTGCGCATCGGTCTGCACTAGAGTACTTCAACTCCAACTTCGCTCACATCGACAACCTCGATGGGATTGACCAAGTCCTGTCACAAACAAAAGCACGGAGTTCAGAACTACAGCGTCAGGTGGGTTGAATAATTTGAATAATTCATGGTAGTTTATTCGTTGTCAGCTAGCTCTCTGCATCTCAGCAATCAATTGACTCACTCATAACGAAAACTCGCGTGGCAGCACTTGCTAACCTTGACACTGCTCGTGGGCTCGCGGAGGACAGAGAGTCGATAGAGAACGAGATGACTTACCTCTCATACGAGCTTGTCTCATCTCTTTCTCCGTCGAAATCGGAAGCTAATCCCACTCTTCTTGAGGACATTGAGACTATGCATCGCATACTGAAGGAACTTGAAAGCGTGCGAGCGTATGTAGCTGTCATAGAACGTACATTGACTTTGAGGTGTGCACCATCTCTCAATTTTATCTGCCCTTGTCGATGGAAACAAACAATTATTTCTCAGCGAAGGAGCATTGGCGCAGTTGCGCGCTACAACATCCCCACTTTCCAAATCGTCGACGTCGGAATACAGTAGGCTAAGTGCCTTCGTTAGTAGTGTTGGTCAGGCATGCGACAGTGTGCAAGATATCGGGAGTGCCGAGCAGTCTCTACATCTTGTCACATTTGTACGGCGTATCCGTGACAAAACGTGGTTAGATATAAAAGAGATATTTTCTACGTAAGTCTCGATTTATGCTCTGGGACAGTCTGATAATTTACCTTTTCATCAAGAAAACTGAATAGCGTGCTGGAGAATCTTCAGTGGCCAATGGCTGTCGATTATCCTGCTGCGAGCGTGCATGACCGCAAATCCTTCGAAACTGCGTTCAAAGACTTGATATTGCTGCAAGAAATGTCAGTGAAGCTGAATTATACATTACATGCTATACTGAAATTACACAGCGGCGAGAATATTGAGGGCTCGACAAACCAAGGTTCCCAGGGCTTATACCCACTAGAAACACTCGCGCATGCGATATCCCTTCGCTTCAAATACCATTTCGAAACTGAACGAGAGACAAATCGCCTTGATAAGGTTTGGTTCCCGCTGTCTTCTATCATCTGTATTGATTGCTCGCGACAGCCAGAGTGGTATCTCTCACATATAATAAACGTTGCTCTTGACCATCGACCCTTCATGGACAATGTTATACAACGTTTACTCTTGGGCACAAAATACCAGTATGTTAATGCATGGGTGAGCTGATACTTTTAAACACAATCTTTGCAGCCTGACGGCAGACCATAACATCAGCAAAACTACATCACTCTCCTTGTCCCAATCCTGGAGCGCAAGTTGCGGCGCACCGTCCCGACTGTGCTCTCTCGCCCTGCCCTGTTGGCGCACACAGTTTATCAGGCATTGATTTTCGATTCCAATATGCGTGAACTAGGTTATGAATTCGTGGTCGGCACAGAGGCAAAGAAGACTGAGGAGAAAGGAGGTGTCAGTTCTGTCATTCTTTGCCAGAAGGAGTGGTTTGATGCATGGCTAGAAGGCGAGAAGAAATGCAAGTTTATTTTTACATTCGTCTGTCTGTGAAAGACTAAGCTGTTTGATTAACAGTCGCTGAGGACCAGTACCATGAAATCATCAGTTCTCCAGACGCATGGGTTATTGTTGACGATGATTCAAGTGAATCCGATGAACACAAGCTCTCCCGCTCAATGGCCGAATTGAAGGCTACGAACTCAGCTCGACGAATAAAAGCTCTCGTTGAACAAGTTACTGGTACAGTATGAGTTTTCTTTGATGTGCTCGTCATTGAAGGTGAAACAGATCGCTACTCTCCCCTTCCCTCCTTCGCCCATCGCACCCGTTTCCTTATTCACATTCAGCTTCCTATCCTCGAGCAGTATTATTCTCGCGTGTCTTCCTCCCTGGATGCCTTTGAGACACTTTCATCTGCTCTGGTGCGAGCGGTCCCTGGCGCACTAGGTGTCGAAGGGCCTAAGACAGACTCGCGTAAGTTGACCGGAGGTGTTGAGGGCAGTCAGCGGTTATGCAAGGCGTTGCTCAGCGCGCGGTACGTGGAGTCTGCAATGCAACGATGGGGAGAGGAAGAGGTGAGGCGGCTGGCGTTTTGTGACCTCATTGAAGCTAAACAACCTGTTGCGGACAGTTCTTTTTGGAATTGTGGACAGAAATTAACCATCAGACAGCCCTTCGTTCTCGGGCGGAGATGCATCCATCACTGCCGAACTCTGCAGATCATCAGTCCAGCAAGAGCGATATCCCGAATTGCACTATCTTTGAGGAACTAATTACACAGTACACGAAGCTTGCGTCAAGGGCAGAAGATATACTCGTGAGTCAAGTTTGTGGTGAAACTGAATCTGCCTTGAAACCACATTTCGTGGCTATCACATCGTGAGTCACTCATCTTTCTACTCAGCTTATACCGTTCTTTGTAGTGACCGTTATCACAGTCCCAAAGATGGAAGTGACGCTCAAAATGCAGATGACGGCATCGCCGTGCCCCCAAGTCTCCTCCCATCTATTGCTCTCTTGTCTGCTCACCTCACCTTCCTCCGTAACACGCTTCCGACTGCCGTGACAACGCAAGTATATAGGCGGATAGCAACACTCATCTCCGAGCACATTCTTCAGCGCGAAGTTCTCTTTCGCCCCGGACTTACCCGGGGACAATTCCGGACAGGACTTTCACGGGAGCAGGCACGTTCCGTACATGCGGAAAGCGAATTGTGGGCGGAAACTTGTCAGGTCGCCTTGAGAACTTCGCGGGCCAGGGCTGAGGGTCCTTGGGCACGATTATTGGTCGCGGGCAGACTTCTCGGTGCACGCAGGCAGGAAGTGGATAGGGCCGTGAAGGAAGTCCTTGGAGGTCAAGGAGATGGCTGGGAGGATGCTTTGGATGTCGCTACGAGCCTCGGATCAGGGGGGTTAGGGAAAGAGGAGGTGAAGACGGTGCTCCGACTGCGTGATGATCTGTAGACGTTTAGTTACTGACAGTGCAGGGATGAGCGCCCGTGTAGCTGCGTGAGGGGAGAATCGTGAGAGATATGTTTTCATCTTGCGAGGAGCACATGGTATTTAGTTTTCGAACCATCGCTTTGCCTCAGGAACACAGGACAATAATACCATGACAGGACTTCAACGTTGATTTTTTGATCGTCGGTTGAGACCTTAAGGCCTTATGGATCACCACATGCTTCGACTTCCAGTCACTACAGTGATGGATACGGTAGAGATCATTCATATTGATGTCTCGAGTTCAGAGCTATTATTACAACCAGGAGAAAATGTGACACAACACAAGGAAACGATAAGCAAGCGAGAACACAACCCACGATCAGGGGTATTAGACCTTGTAGACGATCCCTTCGCTAATCATGAGCTCATCTGCGTCCGACATGACCTGACATGCTGCGGTAGCCTCCGCAGTGCCAAATAATGCACCCGTTGGTAGACCATCGTTGATCATTTCCACAAGTTCGGCCAAGAATACCTGTTCCTCGTCTTGGAGACGTGTGGAGAAAAGGTTCGCTAGCCGCGTGCGGAAAAGCTGTAGCCTATCAAAAATGAAAACACATGGGACAAAGATGAGTTAGAATTATACTTTTCAAGTCAGGGCTCCAGTGATAAATCGGAGACGTGGGAGGGTGGCGAAAAAGAGACGCTAACCTTTCTGGAGGCACACCGCCCTCCTGTGATGATCCCGTAGCAGCCGCTGGTAACGTATCCATCGCGAGATCCTGGCTGCTGTCATTCCACAACGTGTCCTGACTACTTTGATTAATTGCAGGCTGTTTATTGGCCGGTACTTGAGGAGGCATGCTCATGCGTTCGGGGACCTCCGGTTGTTCATCCTCACCCTGATCATTTTCCTCTTCATCGGAACTATCTTGAGAGTCATCTTCGTCCATTCCGCCAGCCGTTCCCACGCGGTTAAGCTTACGTTTCTTCTTTTTTTGCCGCTTTGCAACTTCCTTGTAAAGTGCATACCGCATGATCTCCTCTGCCGCACGAGCATCCTCGGACTCCACTTTAACAGAGAGACGTGCCTTGGCGTGAGCGGTGGACAAACGGATGAGAGTTTCTAGTGTACGTGCTGTTAGAGGCGCTGTCTGGATATGATCCATCAAAATGGAGCATAGATCAAGATGCTGGGAAAAAAAACTACCTTCTTCCTATTGGTTTGACCCTCATCCTCATTGCGAAGGTTGGCGTAAACGTTCACAATATGGTTGGCCGCGCCTTTCGTGAGAACCGGAGCAGGCTTGCTCTTCGAGTACTGAATGTATTTTTTGATGAAAGCGATGCTTAACACCTCCGTCTTCACCTGTTTGCCCCTCCGTGTTCGTGACTTTGCGGCCGTTAAGCCGACGTGGAGTAGGGGATCGTACTTCTCGAAGGGGCTGGACTCTATCCCACCATCCACCTCCGCTGATTGTACACCCGGTCCGTCGATGGCAAGGGGCTGTGACAGGTTGTCATGCACAGGAGTACCGTCCTCAACTCCGGGTGGCATATAACGGTGCATGCGCAGTACGTGATCTGCAATCCTGCGATCCCGTTCTTCATCAACATCATCGGTAACAATGAACAGAAGATCAAAACGCGAAAGAAGGGAATCAGGTAGTGCGATATTCTTATGAGGATCTTTATGGATATCATACTAGCAAATAACGTAGTCAGACTCCAAAATTTAATAAAAATGAATTGACGCACTTGGCCATATATTGGGTTGGCAGCGGCAACGACGCTGCACCGGGCGTTCAAACTGGTATGGATACCAGCTTTCGCGATGGTGACTGTCTGTTGTTCCATGACTTCGTGGATCGCCACGCGATCAATATCTGACATCTTGTCAAATTCGTCAATGCAAACAACACCGCGATCTGCGAGAACCATTGCGCCTGCCTCGAGCCTTCGCTCGCCGGTATCGCGATCCGTGGTAACAGCCGCTGTTAAACCGACACCAGAGCTTCCCCGTCCGGTGGTAGCAATAGCGAGTGGGGCAGTACCCAACACGAAGCGAAGTAGTTGCGATTTTGCGGTGGAAGGATCGCCGACCATGAGCATGTTGATGTCACCACGGATATGGGTACCATTAGGTAGGTTCTTTTCTGCACCACCCAGCAGGAGTAAAAGGATAGCTTCCTTGATTTTATCGTGACCATAAATAGACGGAGCAAGAGACTGTGAAAGAAGACGGAAGATGTCGCGTCGTCGAGAAAGCTGGTTGATTTGCCGAATATCGGTATCAGTTAACGGTGTCTGTGCAATACCGCCTCCAATCTTGGAGGAAAGGAGATTGATGTTATTTGCGAGAATTAGGGATCTGTAAGGCAATCGGAAGATGAGTGATAGATTTCAAGGGGAAATGGAAAACGAACTTGAAAGCGCCACTTGAGCCACCTCCCACACTTCGATAGAAGCCAACCAGTTGGACACGATCACCAGGTTTGCATTTGTCTACCAGGTCATCATCAAGAATAATATCTGTACTACGTGGTAGCTGGCCAGCCGGAGCGCGTTCGGGCATCTCCTGGATGCTGATACGCTGATGATCTCGGAAGACACAACGACCGTATTCCATCTGGAGGGGATGACCATCGTCATCCTGCTGAGGTGTGACAGTAGTGGTCGGTGGTAAATTTGATGTTGACGTAGTCGCGTCGCGGTATTCGCGAGCGTGAAAGAGTTTGGTTTCGGGGCAATAGTGAACGGATTTGAGCATTTTTGGGCGGACGAGGGAGCAACGGGTGATGATGCCTTCTAAAGAGATCATCTTTCCAAGATGTTCTGATTTGAGGGTGCGTGGGCTGACATGATGGTCACCAAAGGAGCCACTGAAGCCGACGCGATAGTTCTTTCCCTCGAGCTCGTGTTTGTCGGTGTCATGAACTTGAGTGACGACACCGAGGAGGGCATCGTCGAATGCGGGAAGAAAATCAATAGGTTGTTTGAGCAAGCCATCTGCATACTCTCTGTTATAGTCGCGTAGATCATCGATATTGACTATTAGACGGGTTTGATCTGTACGGAGCAAGCGGGCGATGTCGTCTCTGTAATTATAGATTGGTGAATCTGAAGTGAGGAATTCCTCGAATATACGTGTTCTATCGCGCATAAGATCATCTTGAGGAACGGGCTCGTCGAGCATCGACATGGTTAGCTAGGAAAATCAGTCGTAAAAGTTGACGCGTGGAGACGGTGAATATTGACGCGACTAAGCCTGCCCTTAAGGATCACGTGGGCCAGGAACGGCTAGAATTTGAAATGGATAGACCCACTGTATAATTTTAGAGACATAGAGTAGATGACACCGGAGGTAGGACGGAGAGTTAAAAACATTCATTGATGGCAGTCGTATGATACACAATCTTGTTGTGTACATTGAAACTGAAAGAAAAAACCCCATGAAACCAAGACAGAAATAATGAAAGTGAAGTACGTAACAAAGCAGGTAGCCAATTCGTAAAAAAAAAAAAAGAGAAGAGATGGAATACATGTTTTGAATACAAGGCAGGTGTGGCTGCACTATTGATCAAAGTATGCAAGTTAGGTAGGAAACGAGTGTGAGATTATAATGAGGACACTGGTGTAAAACGCAAAAAGTCGAAAGGAGTAAAATCAGTCGATCATGTAGTGGGCGTGCCGCCTAAATTGGTGATGTGGCGCGGTCGGGGGGGCGGGGCCCCAGTTTTAAGCACATAAGACGTTAATCATGACGGTGCTGGTTGAAAGAATATTTTAAACAAGTGTGAATGGTGAATGATACAAGGACTTACGGGAGGATGTTCACCAGTCAGCTCCAGAACCACCTCCACCTCCACCAAATTGATCTGTAACCGGAGATACGGCCTGTGGGTCCAAGTTATGATGGGTTATGGGACATTGTAAGTTTTCTCACAGTTTCAGAATCTCTGGCCTCGAGTTTTAGCATCTGTTTCAGGCTGTCAGTTCGGGCGCTAAAACGAAGACTAAATGAAAGACTAACTGGCAGGGCAAATGAGAGATGTAGGAGACAAGCGAGGATGAGAGGGATAAAAGATTTTGTTGGGAACATGATTTTACCGGGGTATAAGGAGTGACAGGGTTAAACGAGTTGCTTTTATGTGCGAGGGTATGAGAATAGGTTATGATCCACGCGGTCGACATTCTTCCGGTACCCAGGAACCTGCCTTTCTATGGCCGCCGAACCCAGGAACCAACTCTTTACAAAGTACGAATCTAAGATGCATCTTATTGCAAATGCTAATATCAAAAGTACATTAACCTCGACTGCATGTACAGCCCTGACCGAGTGTGCAATCTTCATCAACATCCCGGGGTCCTCGCAACAAAGTAAACACTCATTTTCACCCAATCCCCACACCTCTTGATTATCCGTCATGAGGAAGCTTTCAAGAACGAGGTAAACCACGTTCCAATTGGCCAAGTGCCTGCTTCCTGCTTTTCCATCTTTTTCCATCACTCTGGTTCCTGTCGCGCGAACAACGGTCGGTTCCTGGCAATATGGGATCACATCCGTAGCATTTTATACCGGTCCGATCTCGTGCCCGCACCAATTCAGTTCATCACTGCGCTCATGCACCACTTACAACGCCCGATCGCTCAATCAAAAAATACCATGTCATGTGCATGTCCATACAGAATACAATAAATGCGAATATCAGTCCTATATCAAGCGTTATAACGGGTACATCAAAATGAAGGACGGAACATACCCATAACTTTATCAAGCCATCCCATGACGCCGTTACAACTTTAGACTGCACACATAGTAGTTAGCATCGGTGCCGAAATAAAACAAACAAACCGAACTTACCGACTCGTGTGGTAACCACTCATGTGCGATCACAACCTTCGAGTGAGCCTGTAGCCTCGATTTAATACGTCCCGTTTTCCAGTCCCAGAACACCACATTTCCCTCCCCGTCACCACTGCTTATCCACTTCCCATCGGGAGAAAACCCAACCTGGCAAGCATACCCAGCCACGGAATGTCCCGCGAACCTTTTCTTCCTGTTTTGGCGGAAATTATCCGTACTGTAGATTAGAATTTGGTTGTCTAACGATTGTGCTGCAAAGTATTTCTCTAAGTAGAATATATGTCGGATCAATGCTTAACATGTCAGAAAATTGAAACCCACTTGAAGGGTGAAGCGTTACTGCCGGCATCGAGTGCATATGAGGTTCTGCGATATACTTTATCACCACCGGAATATCGTAATCCCAAGCACGGATCGTCTTATCGTCTGACGTCGTGACAAACCGTCGGTTCTCGTCCACAAAAGTAATAGTATTGACAGGACCCAGATGCTGGTCATATTCTTGGGTTATCTCCCCAGAATTCATGTCATACTACATGGTCGGATTCAATGGTCAATTGAGCCCGGGACACGCTGGAGGAACGTACCTGAATAATCTTCTTATCCGACATACCAGCGAGGAATATGTGTTGTTTGTCCTCATCCGGATGGAAGCGCACAACGTAGGGAGTCTTGCCGTTACTGAATCGCTTAAGACACTGGCCGGTCTCGGTATCCCATAGTTTCATCTGGCGGTCGTATGCACACGATAGGAACTTCCGCCCGTCATTAGAGAATGTGACATCCTTAACGGCCTGTACATGGCCATGGAAAGTCCTCAGACAATTTCCATGAGTATACACGTCCCACAGCTGACGGCAATGAGTCGATTTGGGACCGAATAGGTTAAAAATATTAGCGTACCTTTATTTTTGTGTCCATAGATCCGCTAAGAAGAAGATGTACCAGTTTCAGGGAATAATCGAATTACGGAGACGCCTTGCGTATGTCCGGTCCAAGTATGGATGCACGTCTTTGGAATAAATGTCTCTTGCGAGCCTACCTCACCGATAATATGAGGCGCTTCCGCCAGAGGTGGATGCATATATGTTCGGCCCTGATAGTCGGTCATAGATTTTCCATGGAAGACGGAAGTTTCTTGGCCATAGGCGCCAGGCTTTGGTTTCGCTTTCTTCTTGAGAACCACCGGCTCAGGTTCCTCTTCTTCCTGCGGTTGATCGCCAGTGTCTTCTTCAACACCATCCAAGAATCCAATCTCCTCTTCTCCGTCCCATGCAGCCCAAGGTCCAACATACGCGCCTTCGCCCTCGACGACATCAAGATCTCCCTTATTTTTTCTCTTTCTCTTCAATTCCTTTTTCTGAGAGTTGGTGGCTCGCAAGGTATCAATGGTTGCAAAGCCATTTTCACGAGCCTTTTCGACTGAGCCGAGAATAGACGGTGCGTTTGGATCGATCGACGGATTGACCGAGTAGCCGAGGATGGAATGTGTCAGATGTTGGGCATTAAACGCGTGGTCTGACATGGATTGTTCTTCCACATGGCCTGCGAGTGCATTCTGGTTGATAAACCGGTTTGAATCACCGAATGGATTATCGGGACCCTGGAGCGGCAACATCATCTCGTTGTACGGAATATTGACATTCATCTGCGTGTCTGTCGGACGGGTCACTAGCGAAGTTTGATTTAGAGGGTCCTAAGGGTATAGTGAGTGACATGGTGTATGAATGAAGTAAAGTTTGAAAGACTCACTTCAGCGAGAACATGAGGCGCAGCCTGAGACGCGAGTCTGTCCTGGTCCGTGCGCGGTTTTTTGCTGGTAGGAAGTTTTGCCAGACCAAATGCATCATTTAAAGTCTCCTCGTCCGAGGAATAAGCAGCAGACATGACTGAACGTTTGATGACAGTCCCAGTGTCGGTAGTTGGTGCTACTTGGTCAAGGAAGGCGTGGTAAATAATTTCCAAAACGAAAGTGAGACCTTTATGTAATTTCGTGTGATTGGAGATTTTCATTTGTTTTCTAATTGATGATACTGCAGCCTTCTTTCCTCGAGGCTCAGCACTAAACCCCTCATTTTTTCTGACTTCTTCCTATTATCTTACTTAAGCTTTATCATGACCGAGCGCATCGTCGGCCGGCCATGGACTGCTCAAGAGGACCGTCTTCTCGCCAGCGCCGTCGCAGTCCATGGAGAGTCAGACAACTGGAAGGCCGTCGCCCACTGTGTCCCGGAAAGGTCCAATAAAGCCTGCAGGAAGGCAAGTGTTGATCTCATAATCCCAATTCAGCTCTCCCAATACGTTCAAAAACAGCGATGGCTCCATTCCCTATCACCGAATGTGAAGAAATCTGCTTGGACGCCAGAGGAAGACCATCTACTTTTGGAACTCTACGAAGTCCATTCAACCAAGTGGTCTGTGATCGCAAGGCATATACCCGGTCGTACTGACGACGCTTGTTCAAAACGCTATCGTGAGGCGCTCGACCCGTCCCTCAGACGTGACGAATGGTCCAAGGAGGAGGACGACAGGCTCTTTGACGCGTACTCACGTTTGGCTGGGCGATGGGGCCAAGTCGGCCAGGAGTTACAGCGCAGCGGATTAGCCTGCCGTAACAGGTGCTGTTTTCTCCCGCACGTATAGATAGCCCTCACGTAACTTACGTCCGCCTTTCCTTAGATGGAGGCTTCTCGAGCGAAAAAGAAACAACCTAACCGAACCTCAGGGTGTCGCAGTTTCAAAATTGTCATCGACCATGTCTTCAGAACCAACAAGTCCTATGTTAACGTATCCCGATCCCACACCTTGGCCGCCTCCACATATGCTCAATCCCAGGCAATATTGGGGTGAAAATCTATCCCAGCTTGACGGAGGTCCATCCCCAGCATCTGGACAACAACATAGCCACGTAAGGTCTCACAATGACGTGGGATTGTTGGGCAGTGTAGAACCCTCAGTTTCCCATTCACAATCATCGATACAGCACGTTGTCAATCTTCCGCCTCCGTTTCATTATTCGTCTTCATCATTAAGTTCGGCCTTGTCTTCTCCGCACACACTTGCAACGAGGTATGAAAAAAGCACCGCGGCCCCTAGCGGCCCTTACCAAACTGGGGAAATTCACGCCGTACCGCACCCTATTACCTCCGTTCCGCCGGCCGATAATACATCCGCGGTTTTTGACTATGGGGTAGTCCTCGATCCATCTCTTGTCAACGCCACACGAACCACGGACTATACTGTTGGACATCGCCCCGTGTATGAGGACCACGTTGCACAATATAACGAGATCCAACGAAGCGTCGCTCCCACACCTGTACCATCTCATATACCCGTTCCCCCTCAACGTGCGTCGGAATATTATTCGCCTGCTCCTCATCATAACGAGTGTCACCATCAATTGATCCGTGATGGAGAGACTTCTCCATCACAATTATCTCGAGATTCGCGTTATCCAACCACTTCTCAGGGTCCTTCCGCTGCATTAGTCCCTACGGCACTAGGCCTACCCCACGAGGCGACTGACAGCTACTACGTGGCTCATCGTCAACAGCTTGAGCATGTTCAGCACGTTGTGATGTCATCGCCCGATTCATCATCCGTCTGCAGCGTTTCCCACGAGTATTTCCCGTCTTCATCCTCATCGGATCATTGTTCCCCCGTTTCGCCTGTCGATGGTGCATTACACCAGACACCCTGCAATCAGTACTATCCATCCCCTGAACATGTGGTGCCTGCGCACCAAGACATTAGCTCAATTTCGCGGCCCACCACAACAGCACCTGAAGCTCGTGGAGACTATTATCAACCACAGTTCAAAGGGCAATTGCAGCCTCAATTTCACCCACTGTCGAACGAACCCAAGCTTAACGGACACTGTGCTCCTATGTCTGTTGCTGATACAGGTCCACCAACCGTCTCGCCTAACTTCCATTCTGCACCATCCGCTCAGTGTTCAGCGTCTATCAGCCCATCTGCGTACGTGCATCTACGTACTGCCAGTCCCAAGACCATCGGATCAGGTGCCAAACGCGGCCCTCCCCAGGATACTTCGTCAGTGAACCCTGAAGACCCTAATCCTCGCCCGACTGCACGACAACGTCAGTCATTCGTACGGAAGCGTGCTGACATTCATGCTCCTCTGAGGCTATCTTCTGACTTGCCTGCCACAAATGAGTAGGTCATCTTCTCATGGAAGTGACGCAATTGACTAACGCGATGTCATTTCTTAGCCCCTCCATAAAGCCATATGCGTGCGGTCACGAGAGCTGCTGGCCGGTGGCCGCAGCGAGTTCCCTTGCTTGTTACACTACTTCGCGAGGTCTTTCAGACCACAATAAGAGTTCTCATCCAGAAGACTCTGGCGGAGAGAGACCCTACAGATGTGGCTTAGACGGTTGCGGAAAATCTTGGAAGGCACGTTATTTCGGTTCTGAAGTTCCGGGAGCTGTATTAATGACATTGTTCGGCAGAGCATTAACGGGTTACAGTATCATTTGCAAATGTACGCCCGTATGCATGTTCTCATCGCCGAGTATACTAACTATAGCCTAGATCGAAGGCCCATTTCCAACACGCTATTGTGTCGACTTTCGTCACCTCTTACATCGATGGCCTCGCTGTGCCTTGTGTGGATGCATCTCCTGGCGAAAGTGATGGTAAGACTAAGAAGCAATACTCTTGTCCGCATCAAGGCTGCCCGAATCGGTATAAGCAGCTCAGTGGACTGCGTTATCATCTAACCCATGTAAGGTTAACTTGCAATATTCTGATCCAAGTCTAACTAAAGATGTTAGGGTCATCCTACGGACCTTCCGGTTCAGCTGGATTTGGTACCTCCTGCCCTGAGTCGCAAATTGGCTGAGAAGATGCGGAAGGATGGTACTGGCTCACAACCCCCTGAGACGCACACGCACAATTCTCTTCCTGTTCCCGCCCCCTCGCAGAGCTGCTCTCCCGGGCATGTATCTGCATAATGCGTGGGCTCCTGACTAAGATCAGCGTGAAGCGGAATCGCGTCGATATTTTACTGGTCTCATAATTTTCCCAACGTATATTGGCCCTGACCATTGGTTTGGTATTGTCTTTCGTCTTGTTTGAATTATTAGGTGTATCGTTATTGCTTTCATTTGCTTTTAGTCTCTTTGCGCTCTCCCTCACATCGCTCGGTTTTTATGGCTTTTTCCCATCAGCCCGCCATTCATTTGCATTGCAGATATTTACCGCGTACTTGTATAATGGCTATATGTAATATTTGATGGTGATCCCACCGTCCCTAATTGTATCTATACACAGTTCGAGCTGACAACATGTACATTTGCGAGAGTGTAAGAAAGTCATCATGAATCCATCCCGTAAGGGATCATCCGTACAAATGCTCAGCATAGGCTCGTTACTTTAAAACCTCGAACATATTGAATCACCGTCCACCTCCAAATTGGCTGGCGCTGCGGTATACATGTGAGCTCAAATTTACATGACGGACAGGTAGAGATCGACTTACAGATTCCTCAACTCTGGATCTGCCATAAGTTCTTCCATAGAGGGCGTGGCTCCACCAGATTGCATCCGATTCATCTAATAAAAAATAATCGGAATGACTACTTGAAATATACAAGAGAAGAAAGAGGCCTACCATGTTAGCAACGTTCGGATTCGACATAAGCCTTTCCATTCCCCCGTTGGCCATCATTTGTTGTGCCATTTGCATCATCATAGGGTTGTTCATGAGACCAGCAAGATCGGGCATACCGCCTGCCCCACCCATTCCTCCCATGTTGCCGAACATGTTCGCCATACCACCGAGTCCGCCCGCGCCCGCACCGAAGCCAGCGCGCGTATCTGATGGGATGTCACCTTCAGGTACGAGTGGTGGCGGGCCATCGTCATCATCATCTTCAGAAGGAATGCGGTCCATGGCATTTTGTAAACCAGATTTCAGGTTGGCGCTTGTGGGGTCGAGCTCAATTCCCTTCTTGAATGCGGCAGCGGCAGCTTTGTAGTCTCCCAAAGTGTATTGCGCGTGCCTGGCGGAGCGGTGGAATGAGATCGAATTATGTAGAAATCGATAGTAGATACGTACCCCAGACGAGAGTAGGCTTTGACGAATTTAGGATCAACTTCGATGGCTTTTTCAGAGTCGAGGATTGCAGATGCATGATCGCCTTTGCTGGCGTATGCAGCTGCTCTGTTAGAGTAGTAGACAGGATTGACAGAATCGAGCGCGATGGCTTTGGTGTACGCGTCAATGGCTTCATCATACTTCTTAGCTGTCATGTGCGTATTTCCTGTTTGCTTATGTTTCTCAGCCTTGGCCTTTGTTTCTGCTGAAGGGGCAGAGGGTGTGGATGAGGATGCTGGCGAAGATACTACTTTGTCTCTTGTTTTCAAGAATACATCGAATATGGTCTGTAGCTTCGCTGGTTTAATATCCAGGCGCTGCCGTTGCTTGTCGTCCGATGGATCGACACCAAACGCCTCGCCGATGCACTGAACTACGTGAATACGCGTACTCGATGAGCTACTGAACGTAAAAGAGACGAATAAAAACATAAAACGTACTAGCGACTTCAAGACTTTCCTTGTCGTCTTGCTTGACAGTGCCGTCATCTATGGATTGGTTCAAAAAGTCGATTATGGACAGAACGAGCTGCTGCTTCTTGTCCGCCATGTTAGTGGTATCCGAAGATCTAGTGTGTCGCAAATAAGGATCAACAAACACTTTCAACTCCATGAAGACTTACTTGGTCTTCGTTCATATAGGCAGTCATGTTTTTCTGTAGCATCTCTGGCGAACCCCCTCAGGACCCGGTCATTTCCACAAAATCTGGCCAAGTTTACGAGCGTCGGTTGATTCTTAAATACATCACTGACAATGGCACCGACCCGCTGACGGGGGAGAAGCTCGAGGAGTCGGACTTGTTGACTATCAAAGCCAGTGAGTTTTTTTTTTTCATTGACACCTTTTCTCGCAGCAGCATATACCGTTCCTTTTTTCTTGAATGTTGCAATCCGAAGAATTCAATTCAAACTTGCTAATCCATGCCCGCCAGACCCCAAAACTGCGCCACCACGACCTGCCGCCGCAACTTCTACCCCGGCTCTGTTGCACATGCTTCAAAATGAGTGGGACGCTTTAGTATTGGAGGTGTTTGCCTTGAAGCAACAGTACAACTCCACTCGCCAGGAACTAAGTTATGCTCTATATGCACAAGATGCCGCCAGTCGCGTCATTGCGCGTCTCATAAGAGAACGCGATGCTGCCAGAGAGTACGCGCTTTCTAAGTATACTATTTATTACATCACGCTGACGCGTCTTGCCCTCGTTCCAGAGCTCTGGCTAATGTCCAGGCAACTATGGGAATCGCTCCAGCAAGCGGTGCGGCTGAAGACGTGGAAATGGCTGAAGAAAATGGTGCTCAGGAAGGTGCCCTTCCTAAAGAGATAGTCGACCAGATCGACGAAACCCAGCAAAATCTCTCTGCTACCCGCAAAAAGCGCAAAGCTCCAGCAGGTTACACGAGTACCGCAGAGGTGAAGACGTTTGTTGCAACACACACCGTCCCGTCTTTGCACTCGGCCTCTCCTGCGGGCATGACTTCTCTTGCCGTTTCCCGTCTTAACCCATCTCAGTTCCTTACGGGTGGAAACGACAAGATTGTCCAACTGTACGATAGAAGTACAGACAAGGTATTGGCCTCCCTCAAAGGTCACACGAAGAAAGTCAACCAAGTCGCTTTCCGCGAGCACGAGGGTGAATCGACTTTGATTTTGTCTGCCGGTGCAGACAAAATCGCCAAAATTTGGGCGCATGATAGCGCCTCTAGCGAGTACATACCAAAAGCAACCATTCGGACGCACAAGGGAGAACTCACTGGCCTCGTTGTGCATCCCACGAACTCTATCTTTGCGTTGTCTTCACTTGACAAGACATATTCACTCCATGAACTCTCCAGCTTTACTCAGGTGTACCGATCAGCCCCCGGAGAAGATGCTTTCACGTCCCTTGCAATTCATCCTGACGGTGCTCTCCTTGCACTGGGTACTCCCTCATCCAAGATTCAAATATGTGATGTGCGCTCCGGTAACATAGCTGCATCCATCACACCGCCAGATGCATCACCTTTCACCGTCAATTCACTCTCATTCTCCGAGAATGGTTACCATCTCCTCGCTCCTGACAGCCCCTCGTCCGTTGCCATCTGGGACCTGAGGAAAATGAAAACTGCACACACCATTCCGCTCGGGGAAGGGTTCAAGGTCAATAAGGTGTTGTATGATTACAGCGCACAGTATCTAGGAGTCGCGGGCAGCGAAGGCATCCGTGTGTTTGCTCACAAGTCATGGGATGAGCTTGTACGTTTCGAAGAAGCAGGGGATGTATCAGATATTGTGTTTGGAGAGCAGGGCAAGGAGATCTGGGCTACGAGCGGAAGGGAGGTCAGGATCTGGGGTTTGCCTGCTTAAATGTATGACTTTTTGTGCTGTATTTCATCGTGCCGTTATGTTTGCCTTTTCTTAACATTGTTATTTCTTTAAGTCTTCCCAGCTTAGGGGCCTTTTCTGCAAATTAGTAAGCTGTTGGATGCTGACACCCCCGGTAACGACAGGATTTTGAGAGGGCGCATGACTCGTTGAGAAATATTATTTAACAAATGAAGGCAATGTAGTAATGTACTGGTCTGACTTGCCGATATCTTTATATCTTGCACTATATGTCAATATTGGTACACTCAAGTCCGAGTGCGCTGGCTTTGGTGGCGCCAGATGAACGGTGCACCTATCATCAACTCCTGTGTCATATAGTCTGATTGTGTCAATCGGTACATACAAGTGCGTTAATGCAGTCACTAAAACCCGAAACAAATAATGGTAATGCGAAAGTGATGTAACAGAGGGTAATCATGTGTTAAGGACAGTGTTGTGGTCGGTTAAAGGTATATGAAACAAGTTTACGTAGTGAATCATGCAGTGGGGAATTTACAGATAGTAATACAAAGGCCGTCTGTCCGATGTACCATTTTTATGACCAAGTCGAAGGGCCAAATGTCTCGCCAGGAGGCATCACGTAGAGGGGCGTGCCCAATATATCTGCAGTGTGCTGCCAGACTGTGTTACCCCACCAGTTGAGCGTGATTCCACCTTTCGGCATCTGAAGAAGGAAGAAGATGACTATCATGCTGAGCGCGACGCCTGCGTCGAGACCAGCGGAGAGGATGTAGTTGTAGCGCATCCACCACCTGAAGTGGTAGCGGCGCATACACCACTGGAATATGAAGCCGACAATTGCCCAAGAGGCGTAGTTGATGCCATTGGCAGGAGGCATGGCACCGATGCCTGCGAAGAACACCGGGATGTTGATGTATCTCCAGTAAGAGAGAGGGTAACGGCGAGCGAGGTAGTAGAAGGGGATGGGGAAGAAGGCACCGACGGCAAAGAACCAGAGCAATGGGCTGTACATGGCACCCGGAGTGAAGAGACGGTGAGGGCCGATACTTCCCCACAGGAGTGAGGCACTTCCGAAGGTGGAGGTGGACGGGCAGATGAAGAACTGAGGCTGGGTAGGTGTGCAGATGTCCACGATGTTGGCGAACATCCAGTTCTGCACGAGCGTGACAACGATGCAACTGAGGAAGGCAGCGATGACCTGTGCTGTGAACATGAGACGCGGGGGAACCTTCATATAATGACCAAGCTTCAAGTCGCCAGCAAAGCCAACTGCCTGGTTTGTACCCATGTATGCGCTCGCTTTGAATATCATGACAGCGATGGGTTTTCCAGGAAGCAAATAGGCACCAATCATCTCAAACATGACGTTCAAGGCAATCTGCTGATTGGTAATTGCTTGAAGCATGCCGACCGGAATCGCGAGGAGTGCAGCGAGGGCGAGAGCAACGCAAACAGCCCAGATAGGGAGATCCGTGGGAAAAATCTCCACAGTGATGAAGAGGAGGAGAAGCATCACGAGGCCCAGGATAACATACCACCACTGAGGAACTTCGGGGTATGCCTGCATCAGGCGCGAGTGAACATCACGTTCATCTCTGAGACTGCTCTTGAAGCGGCGGACGATGTCACGGCGGTACCACACTACGATAATACTGTCAGAATGGGGTAACACGCATAACCAGAAGAACCCACAGAATGTGTGCACGACTACTGAGGAGAACGCAGCAAATGCGACACCGTATGCAACAGCCATGGTTGCCGTCATGAAGACGGGCGAGTAAGCCTCGTACTGTGCGACGTTGAAAGAAGCATTCACGACCACCTGAGCAGCGTCATACGGCGATCCAGTGTTGTCGAAGGTCATGTAGGACGAGATTGGCAAGTGTGCGGTGAACCAAGTGTTGGTGACTGCGAGACACTTTAAGTACATTACACAATGAAAGGGGGAGAGAACATACAGTAGATGATCGGCGTAATGATCCAGAAACAGATCACAAGGGCAGCGACCGTGTTGGCTTCAGACCACCAAGGCGTCACCAAGGGGTTTCCGATGTACGAGATCATGGACCAGTCGAAAGTTAGAATGCCCATCCCAAGACCAGTGGACGTGCCAAATAGCGCGTTCACGGCCACGTTGTCAGGTGCAATCCAGCAGACCCAGTTGAATATGCTCAGTCCAGTCCACAAGTATCCAGGTACCCAGTACCATACGAAACTGCATCCCAATGCAATGCAAAAGAATTTCTCCCGGGAGATGTGGCGACCCTCAGGCTTGCCAAATGATTTGTGTAGAGTGTTGAACAAGGCGGAAGTAACAAGTGCACCAGGCCAAATCATGCTACTGGGCCAAACAAGGAATTTGCGAAGAAGGCCACCCATAGAGAAACCGATGAGCTGCGTTGAAAGAACAAGGCAGAGTTGATAGGAGGTGGTAAGGGTCTGATTGTAGAAGACTTTCTGTGTCGCGATAATGTCGGTGGCATAGGCACCGCTCACTACAACATTTGCCATGACAGTGATGAGTACATGTTCCTTGACGTTGAATGGTCCTGGGTTGAAGGACCAGGTGTATCCCATGGTATTGAAGCGCGTTGTGGGGAGGACTCGCTCCATACCTTTGCCAAGAGGTAGGGCGGTCAACTGAGCAATAATACCGGTGATGATAACGGAAGGGTCTAACAGTGACTTGAGCAAACGAACCCAAGAGCGATGAGAGAATGTTGACTTACAGCGCATAGAGAAAAACTGGTTAAGAGCCGAGATGAGAATGGTATAGAATATACCCAAAACCCACATGCGGAACGTATTGACGTGCATGGTGGGGTCATCAATGCTAGCCACAGCAGCACGAACTTCAGGGTAAGGTGACTCACTGTCATATGACGGTCAATAGAGCAATAGCAAAACACCATAAGACTTACTCGTCATAGTCGAACGTCGAAGGTGTGGCAGTTCTCGAAGTCGTAGAGTAGCGCATAGACTCAACTCGGGATTCGACATCGAAGTCCGAGGCACCGCCGGAGTACTCTGACATCGTTATCTTTTTATGCTCAAGCTCATGTACCTCGGTGGTGGATGAGGTAGGTGAGGAAGGTGAAGCATAGTAGTCGAAGTTAGGGTCATTGAGATGCTCCATGAGAAAGTCCACATCCTCGGGAACATCAGGCACGGCTCTGGCGCGAAGGTTCTGAAGGGCGACAACATTCGTCGCGCTGTTGTAAGGTCTAGTCTCCATGTCGAGACCGAATGAGATAGCACTGTGAGAGAGGAAGGCAAGCACTGGCAATGAGCACAAGGAAGGCTCAGCAAACAGGTAGTGCGAGTACGGGGGGAGAATAAATTCCTGATGATTCCAGGAGATCTGGCGGCCTTTTGTAAGGCGGACGAAACGTCCACAACTTGCCGGTTATACTACTGTGGACGTGGTGACTGCATCTATTTTGGAGGCTAAAGTCATCTGTGGAAAAGTTCTGCCCTGGAAGCGCACTATACAATAAGCCTAATTAGACATGGTCCACTGCAAAACAAAAAGCTGGGAGAAGGCCCGGGTAGTGATCGGCACATCAAAACTCAATTGTTGATGACTCGTTTGATAAATAACCCACTAAATTTGAAAATCCGGAGAAAGGTGCCACTGACGTTCTCTACTGATATGATATCATGCAAAGAGTCAAACGACAAAGTGGCACTCGTCGGATGGATTCGTAGCCATGAGGCATTGAAACACACGGCTAGAGCTAGGAACATATCGAGTGACGTTAGTTCATACTATGTGATGATTCCCCTGGTCAAGATGCGTTTCGAGAAATGTTTATTGTCTTGTGAGAGCTGTTATTGTTGTTACCGAAGGAACTTGATCCATTTGGTTGACAATAAGATGTATTGCTTCCGAACTTAGCCGAATTATTGCCTATCAATTTAGTTATTTCCGTCACGTGATGCAAACGCGCCACCAGCCCCCATATAGCGCGTTTCCTGCCGGGGCTCGCCATATATATAAGTGGAGCGAGTCACGACTACCTGCCCGGTCACCTGGTCATGTATCTGCAGAAAGGTCTTCCTTAGTTCCTAACACCAAAAATATAAGACATCACGCGCGGTTGATTGCGAATTTCATGCTCAGGATTGCGAATACAAGATTAGTGTTACAAAAATCAAATTCCACTCTCCTACGTGGTTCTCACCTCATTGTCACTTGTCACTGAGCCCTGCCACAAGTATGTCCGTTGTCGAAACCGTCACTGAAGTCTCGCAGGCCCTGCCAACACTTAAGCTCCACGCAGGGGGCCAAGAGCAGAAGACAGAGTCATACTCCTATGCTAATTTACTTCCCTATTTCTCACCTGAGCAATATCCACCGCTCACACCCTTCAAACATGAAGATCCAGGCTTCCGTGCACTCAAACACGCAGATCCCCGTGCATTCCTTAAGAATGCGACCAGCGTGGTAGAACTGACACCCAACCTGGGAACAGAGGTCCATGGTGTGAACCTTGCAGCCCTTGATAATGAGGGAAGGGACCAACTTGCGCTCGAAGTATGCCAATTTCCGTGATATGACTATCGTGGCTCATTGTCTGCAAGGTTGCGAGAAGGGGACTTATGGTTTTCAGGGGCCAGCACGAGTTTATAGATAGAGGACCTGATTCGTACCTAGAGTGGGGACGACACTTTGGAAGGTTTGTTGTGCTTCTTCTTTGTCCGCTTAATTGGGCAAGTGCTCCTACTGCACCACACGTCGAATTTTCATTGGTGTTAGAACGATTATTGACTAATTTGTCATGCAGGCTGCACATTCATCCTACGTCAGGACACCCCAAGGATTATCCGCAAATTCACCTTGTCTACAAGTGAGTAGTGCAAGCCGTGCATATTCATTACTCACTGACTGTGAGCTTCAGGGATGCAAAGTCGTCCTACAACTTTGAAAGGGAAGACAGCATCACATCGACTGTCTGGCACTCCGATGTCTCGTACGAGCTGCAGCCCCCCGGGCTCACAACGTTCTTTCTCCTCTCGCAGCCGACGACGGGTGGGGACACATTATTCACATCCCAGATATCAACTCTTAAGAAGCTCTCGCCCTCGTTTGTCGCCTTCCTGCGCACGCTCAGTGCAGTGCACTCAGGGGTTGAGCAGGCTCAATTCTCGCGCTCCGGCAAGCGTGGCGGCATCGTGAGACGTGAACCAGTGGAGCATGTCCACCCACTTGTGCGGCGTCACCCGGTCACTGGAGAGGAAGCATTATATGTCAACCGCCAGTTCACGACGCGTATTGTTGGCCTGAAGCGTGAGGAATCTGGTGCGTTCGGTCACTGTGAGAAATGTCAACTGGACGCTTATAATAGATACCTGTGATCAGAGACTATTTTGAAGTTCCTTTACGATCATGTCGATAAGAGTGCAGACCTCCAAGCCCGAGTGAAATGGCAGCCTGGCACCGTCGTGCTCTGGGACAACCGTGTCACTGCGCATGTAAGTCTGACATATGAGCGTCATGCCTTGCTGGACTTACACTAACCACGATTAATTAGTCTGCTATCGTTGACTATGGAAAGTCGAATGAACGCCGTCACGGTGCACGTATCACTCCGCAGGCAGAGAGACCGATCCCTGCCCTGGAAGGTCTTGAACTCCCTAGTCTTTAATGGATCGTGACATAGCATTGAATGAGAACTGGCAGTCTTGAGTGCAACCATGTATACATTAGATCTATGATGTTGCAATATGAAAACATACTATGATGCGACTTCTTGGTGGTACAAGGCGAACGCTCTTATTAGTCTTAGTGGCAGTGCTGAGGACTCGTACTGCATCCGCGCCAATACTAACTTGAATGCAACCTGCTTTGTGCAACATTATCTCCGATCCACTCACTACTTACCTGATAGATATTTCCCGTGAAGGCCATGTCTTCGGACAGGAGAATATTATACGTAGTTTACTGCGGTGTCGCAGTAGCCGTTTTGAAAGAGTTCAATGCCGTGGTTACTGAGCCGTACATGGTGACTACATTCAACTTCGCCTCTCACCGGATTCACCTTCTGATGATAATCTAGGATGAACCTTTCCATGTACCGCAGGCATTGGCTTACTGCAGGGGTGAATGGTCAACTTGGGACCCAAAGATTACCACACCACCGGGACTGTACGTCGTTCACAAGTACCTATTGTTCCTGTGACAACTTCATTATCTCGCAGATACATGCTCAGTGTATTGCTGCACCGGGTCTTTATGTTCAAATGCAACTTGAATTTGCTACGCCTCACCAACACCCTTACCCTCTTTGCGTTACCGCTTGTCCTCACGCAATTGCTGGGGTTCCATCAGCGACGCCGTTCTCCACCAAAATTAACACCCTCGATCGAGGCAGTTGTTCTGTCTAGTTTTCCGATAGCGTGGTTTTTTGGATTCCTATATTATACAGAGGTTCCGAGCCTTGTTTCTGTTTTGTGTACCGTAGTCGCTGCGACGCAGAATAAGCACTGGCTTGCTGGTTTGGTGCGTGATTCAACCTGCCCTAGGTTTCTTAGAATGCATGCTAACAACTCCAGGGGTGTCCCTAGCTAGGAATTGTGAGCTGCCTCTTCCGTCAAAACAATGTGATTTGGGTGCTGTACGCGTATGCAGCGAGCCAGCTCATGCGTTTGCGATTCAAACGGGGGAAACGATAAACTACACGATCCCCCCGCCTTGGGCGCTGGGCCAGGTGAGTTATTCCAGGGTTGCCATGCCTGTGTTGATGGGTTCATATCGCAAATTCCAGGTGACTTTATTCGATCGATCATGAGTGCCCCAAAAGCACTACCTGAGTTACTCCCCGCGTTTGTTCCCTATGCGGTAGTTCTCGCACTCTTCGGTGGTTTTGTGATTTGGAACGATGGCATCGTGCTTGGTGCGTTTTTCTCGGTCATAATTATCGAGATAACCGCCAATGTTATGTATAGGCGACAAATCCAATCACGTTCCTTCATTTCACGTGCCACAGCTGTACTACTTTATTGCGTTTGCAACAATAATTGGGTGGCCGGCAGTCCTTTGTGGTGAAGGCGGCCCGTTGAAGATTGCCACCGATGTCATTTTGCGCATGTTTGGGAGTAAAAGGTGATCGAGTTAATTATAAGTAAGCGCGCGGATGCTGATATGGATCGTATGCCATAGGAGAATACTTCTGACGGCCATTATATCGATCTTCATGGGGATTACTATCCAGCGTTTCACGTGAGCTTCCCTTTACTGGTTGATAAGCAACTTAACCTTCACGGATTCAATGTAGTATTCATCACCCGTTCCTCCTGTCTGATAACCGTCATTTTACCTTCTATATCTGGCGTCGAGTATTCATGCTGCATGCGGCAGTACCTTACCTATTTATTCCGGGGTACCAAGCGTGCGCCTGGGCGTGGTGGATTCGTGTTGGTAAGTCGTTTTCTAGATTCCAGAATACATGGATGACATTAACCCTGGACGTGATTCATCAGCCTGTGATCAATCGCTTTTGCAAACGTTGGTCCTGCCCGTTTTAATTTTACCTACACTGCTGCCTACGCCATTACTGGAACCGCGGTACTTCCTGGTGCCATATATCCTGCTTAGGGCTCAGGTTGTGGATGTGCAGCCCTACGGTATTTTTCTCGAGGGCCTTTGGTACATGGTAATAAATGTGGCAACGACGTATGTGTTTTTGTACAAAGAACGAGCGGGAGTTGGGAGATTTATGTGGTGATGTATGTAGAGTAATAAATGGAGTAAACAGGGGTCACATATTTGGACCCACTGATGCAAACAAGACCACACGCGTCCGAATGGTTCGGTTAGTTGGAAGGACGTCAGCCATCTCAATCAGCCTATACCATACATTCACAGTGCAGATCATAACGAAGCTCCAATTTCTCTAATGTCACCAGAAACGAGTACTCAGCCATCACGGCCTTCTAAACCAATCACTCGGAGTTCTATCCGACACTCACTCAATTTCACGTCAGTAGGAAAAGCTTTGGCGGATGTAATCAACAAGGAGTCCCGCGACCGCGAAAAGCCTAATGAGAAAGCCCTGAAGAAGTCCAAGGATTCCTCAAGACGTTTAAGTGCTATTGCACTCATGAATTCCAGCGCAATCCCCCAGGCTAACGCCACTGTAACTGTATCCTCAAAGTCAAAGTCCCCAACTCCGGGGCACGTCAAGGAAGACGCTTCTCCATCCAAGACCATCACACGCAGTACAAGGAGACAGTCTGGTCTCCTCAGACCTGCTCCTGCTTGTGACGACATGGGGATAAAGGTGCTAGACGCTGTTGGCGTTAGTCCTTCCATGAAGCGTTCGTCTTCACTGCGTCCAAGGACTGCTCCTGCACCCGCATCATCTGCATTGCCGAAATATCGGCCCAAGTCCACCCTTATAGAATCTGTTCTACCCAAGAAACCTGTTTCTCCTCCTCGTTCCAGCACTCGCAGGCGGTTGAGCTCATCAGAGGAAGAGGACAAGGTTCATAGCCTCCGTTCCAAAGGCAACGTGGAGGAGAAGAAGCCTAAGAGTTCGATCAGTCCTCTCCCTCACAAAGCACTTACAGTAAAGGTTAACTTGCCTAGCCTTACCCCTCCTTCGACGCCTTCCAAGATCTGCAAGTTATCAACGCCGAAGAAGACTTCGCCTGCCAAGGTAGAGTCCGCACGACCTGGTAAAATCATCAAGACAACAACTATTTCTTCTGCGTCCAAGTCAAACATTGCACGTCCTCCGTCGTCTTCATCCTCTCATAGCTCTGTCTCGCAGAGTTCACCTCAGACACCCCCCAAGAGTAGCTTTGGGTTCGGACGCTCAAAAAACAATCAAACATCAAGCCCTCTGCGTTCTACCGGTCGTCCTGCACCTGAGTCGCCCCTTGCCCATCACACTCGTCAAAATTCCACTCCGGCCCTTGGCAGAAGTACAACGCCCACGCCACTCTCACAGCTTGCGGAGGAAGACAGTGAAGATTCCATTGAAGCTGATGATGTGGAACTTCTCCTTGCCCCTGCTGCTCCTCTTGGGGCACCTACACCTGCGATACCCAGGATTCGGGCTGTTCAACTGCAGCACAACGAGTCAGAACCTGAAACGCCCTTACGTCCCTCTTATTTCCTTCCTACACGAGCGAATCTTTCCTACCTGTCGCCTGTACCTCCGACCTCACAGAGCACACCCGGTCTCCGCCCTCCCAAAGTCCATAGTGCAAATCGCAACTCGATAATGTCTTGGGAACAATTGGCGAATGATGGATCACAGATAATTGCACAGGAAGAAGTAGAAAAAATGCTTTCAGAGATTCAGGCGCCCTTCACGCCAATTGGCCCTTCACCGAACGTCAGTGTTCTTGCACTTGAAGTTCCTGAAAGTCCCTGCCTCTCCGCTCTACCATCGCCTGGTGGTTATGGGTCAATATCTCAGGTTTTATTACCGGATGTTACGCCTTCGCCCGCAGTGCACCATTTCAACCAGGTGTTCGATACATCTACGGAGCTTCCCGCTCCTATGGACTCGGGCACAGTTACTCTACTTCGCTTACAAGTGGCATCCGCCGAGAACACGGCAAAGGAACGCCTGGTTCGCTTGCAGGAGTTGGAGGAGCAGCTGCACGCTGCGAAACATTCTCGTGTTCAGGAGACTGAAGAACTCGCGAAGCAAGTCTCCTTCCTGGAGCAACAACTTCACATCAGCGTTGAGGCGAGGGAAAGGCTGGACGAGGAGCGCTCTGCCTTCACTGCATCCCTGCAGGACCAGCTGCGCCACGCAGAAGCTTCTAGCAATCAGGCATCCAATGCTGCTTTTGCACGTGGACAAGAAGAGGCTGCTGCGTCGTGGGCAGAGTTGCTCAATCAGAAGCAGCAAAAGTGGGAAGTATGCTCTCTCGCTCGTGAGATTAAAGTGGAATGGGGCTCTATCAGAGAGCAGGCGGAGGCGGAACAAGAGTTTTTGCAGGCGAGTCGCGAGACGCTGAAAGTATTTCTGGCTATGCTGGATCAAAGCCAGAAGCAAGTGCAGTGCCTGCTTGCTTGAACGACGTGAGTGCCATTGGAATCTGACTTCACACCAAGGCTTCTAAATATCGGGTTACAGAGTTATGCTTATGAGCTTCATCTATTCCTTGGATTAATTTGTACTACACAGATGACCACTCATTCTTCTCGTTCACATCTATGCCCGTGTACTGGTACATAGTACGGATCACTTATCATCTAGCCACAACTACGAATCTTCTGAATGTTATTTACTTTTCACTCGGAAAGAATGTACTACATAATATGGTACGCCTATCTGCCGCAAAACCAAGGAAAGGGGGATACACATTATGTACGTATAGTAGATTTAGAGATACATGTCAACCAGTTAAGTCCCGTAAGATACAATAACCATATGGGTAATATAACCTGACTAGACGAGGTTATGTGTAGCAGTCCAAAGCGACTGTGCACGCATCCAAGAGGCAACCATAGTTATCTGCTACGGTAGTCTCTCTTAGTCTACCAAGAATGGCTTCTTGGAGGGTATCCCGTCTAAAGACTGTAATCAGCGTCAATAGCTTCAACAAGTAATTCACGCACTGAACCGGGCCGTATGCAACTTTAACATCGCATTGCATAGATCGGATCGATATAGGCCAAGAAGAGAACGTCTGAGTGTTAAATATGAAAGATATCAAGGCCTTCGCCTTCTTGCTGGGGAGCATGACTGTTACAGTTGCAGTAAACCCCGAATCATCGTCTTCTCCGTGAGTGATGGAGACTGGGTACTTGATCGCGACCAACTTTAGCTGGGCTAGCAGTTGAGAGCAAGCAGACCAGTAGTCTCCTAGACGTTCGACGATCTAAAATTGTCGAGTTCAGTGAGTTTGCCTGACACTCGAAAACCTCCTACCTGTCGAACGCTGAGATTTCCATCGGATCGTGTAATGAGTGAGCTCGCTGTTTTTAGCATCAACGGGCTGAGAGCGGGGAATGCATCTTTGTACTTGAGCCTCGCATTCTGGACTCGCATGATCGAAACCTCCTTGACAAGTGGACAAAAGTTCTCGCATGGGACGGAGACATCGTAAGATGACGCATATCTGAATTCAAAAAGCTCTGGCAGGATTTTTGTGACTTGCAGCATGTGGAGATTTTGAAGGGCTTCCAGCTCATCTGGACAACATGTCAACATTGCGCAAAAAGAATCTTTGAAAATACAAATCTGCCACCTTTCAATCTGAAGACCTCGGCATGCGTGCTGTTTTTCTGCACCTGGACTTGTCGCTCAGCCACCTGGATAGCATTGGTGGTTTCAAGCTTCTGAGTTTCAATCTCCTCCAGCTTCTCCTGTAGACGATCCAGTTTGGCTTTACCCTCGTCGACGTCTGCTCGGAAGGCTTCAAGCGCAATACTACAAGGGTGTCGCTCAATCAACTAGTTTAGGACTACCTAATTCGAGGGACACTCACCTTTGTTCTTGAATGGTCGCTTTCAGCTCATTCAGATAATCTTGGTTACAGTTCTCGAGTTCAGCGACGTCGACCTGTTCTTGCTCCAACTCGCGGAGAAGATTCTCGTATTCCTCGTTGAGAGCAGGCACAACTTCCTGGGCTTGACGGATAATATTTTCGAGAACTTTAGCATCCTGTCATCGAAAATATTAACGCAATGAAACAGCAAGGGATACTGAGCATACCGCCTCAAGATCTCGAAACCCTTGATCCGCCTTTTCATACAGTTGCTCAACCCACTGCATCTTCCAATCGTACCATTCTGACTTGGCCTGTGTATGTTTGTTGACCTTGATTAGCTTGAGCTGATGGAGAAGCTCATTCTGGCCTTCGTCGTCCGCCAGTACAAATTCTTGGAATAGCTGAGGAGTCATCTTGAGAGCTTCGTCTTCTGCTTCTTTGTAGATGCCTTTGATTCGCTCGATCCAGAGTTGCAGGTCTTTACTGACGTGTGTGTACAACTCAAGCTGGGGCACACCGACCGCCATTGCGACCACATATTCAGATAGAGGAATCTCGCTTTCCGTGGACTGTCGTCTGGAAGGACGAAGGGCAGATGGGTGCACGGTAGAGCGACGGGGGGCAGCAATTTCATCCATGAACCGTATCCCGGTCATCTCGAAGAATTGCTCTATGGAGATTTGTGGGCCATCTTCAGGAGGGAAGTCTCCTTCTGCAATATCACCGCGCCATTGCTCGGTAGGGTTAGAAATCCCCTCGGAGATGCGGGCTAATGGCGTTAGGTCTGAAGTTGCCTCCATTCCATCAAAATTAGGTTCTGGAAGGTCTTCTGGTATCTTTTCCAGTCCAGGGCTGGGTGGCCGAGGAGATGCGCGGACCGGTGTTGATGGGCGGGGTGAATTGCGTGGAGGGCTTTGAGGTCGAGGGAAAGGAAGTGCGGGGGACTCTCTCGCAGGCGATTTCCTGAACAGGTCAGCAACCGGGGAAGCCCTTCCTGGCATCTCATAGATGGGAGGCTCTCTGATTGGAGAGTCGTGCAGCGGTTCAGGTGTGGTCTCAGCTCTAAGGTCCTCCTCCTGTGACCCCAAGATACTTGCTTTCTCTGTCGTCTGTCTAGCAGCTCCCTCCTTCTCGCCTGTAAGGGAAACACCCTTCTTGTTGATATACGCGGCTGCATTCTTCGCTGGAGCAGGAGAAGCAGCGGGAGCCGCTCCCCCCATGCTTTTCCTCTGTGCGAAGTGTCCCGAGGGACGGCGAAATCCAATAGATGGGCGTCTACTCAGACCAGAGAGCGGCTCTGCATGTACTTGAAACGCCGCCTTCTTGCTTGGGGAGAGCCTTGGAAGCCTGCTCGATTGCATGGGTTGCTCCTTGGAGAATTCATTTAGTGGTGCAGTTAATTTCCCGGGGCCAGCTAGCTTTTTGGCGGGACTGGGTCTGTCTTCTGATTCTGAATCGTCGACTATGCTTTGGGTCCTCTTTTTTGGCGAGGGACGAGCAACAGGAGGGGCAAAAGCTGCGGAAAACCCGGCTTTGCTCGGTGATTTAGTAGGTGAAGGAGGACGATGGCGGGCTGGTGACGCTGGCGTTTGTCCGCGAGGTGTGAAGGAAAACGAGAACGGCTTGGGAACCGCTGCAGGTCGTGGAACGGGTGGGAGTGCATTGAGGATCTCCCCAGGTGGCGGGGCTGGCTTGAATACGACAGGTCTGGCTGCTGACTCCACGTTGACACACTCCTGTGGTTCGGCCTGAGCAACATCCCCGTGAGCCTCACCTATTGATTGCGCGGAAGGGGATGAAAGGTCCGTGCCTGCGACATCAAAATGGTCCTTGCTGGGCTCCTCCTGATTGTCATATGTGGACGTGATATCCATAGTAGAATTGTCATCCTCGATGCCAGCACCAAGACTGACCCGGCGCATGAGCTGAGTGACATTGATAGTCTGGTTGCCGTCGTTTTCCACATCATCTTGCGCAAAACTATCTTCAGAGCTACTGAAACTGTCGTTTGGTTGTCCCAATTCTTCAAGATCTATCTCGCTTCCAAATCCAAGGGATTCACGAGCTGCTTGGAGCCTTGTGAGAGCATGTGTGATCTCCATGTCTTGTTCCCCATGTTCATCCTCTTCGTCGGATGAGGGAACGTATGGTGTTTCACCAGAGTGAGTTACTGATCGAAGAGCAAGCCAGGCTTCACTTGGCGGGGCTGGTGGACGGATGAGTGGAACAGTGAACTCCATTGGCTGAGTGACATCGCCTTCAGATACGAATGACTGAGATTGGTGGGAGTCATCTTCAGTATAGGACTGATCTGCAGGAGTCTGTTGCAGACCACCCTCATCATGTTTGTCTGGTGACGAGATTATAAATGCTGTATCATCGGAGTCCATATCCATGGACTCCTCTCCTGCACCATCACTGAAAGCGATGGATCGAATTGAGCTTCGGCGATGGAATTTGCTTGCTCCAGGATATACATTTTCATCCGTAGGGCCTCGTTCAACTGCTTCCTGTACAGGCGAGGACTGAGGGGAAGCAGTGCTATTCGTATTTTGTTCCTGTGTTTCAAATAGCCGAACATGTGCCCGGTCTGCGAAGCTAACGCGCCGTGCAAGAGATTTTTGCGTATTTTCGTGAACATGGGTCAGATCCATAGATTGCGTGGCATCTTCATCATCCTCAGGAATGTTGACTGCTGGTTTGAGGATACTTTTTCGGGGAGCCTGTTGGACTGTAAGAAAAATAAATTGCAGTCATTCATATAACTTACCAGTGACCGACGTGCCTTCGAAACAAGATTTATCTTGTCGCCAGGTGCAATAGAGTGTGCTCGCCGCTTCTTCCCTGGATGAAGGGGTCGATTCTGGTTGGCTACCGCGATAGATTTGCGTCTGCTGGGTGACCCCCTACCGCCATTAGTGGCCATATCCAAGCTGTGTGCGTCCGAGTAAAGGCCAATCAAGAAAGGTGATCGTGTTGTGAACGTTGAACGATATGTGGAACTTAATGGCTATTGTGCTAAACACGTTCACGTGATACAGATTAGACGCGTCTCATCACATGACATTATCAGGAAGTTCCGACGCGTTTGTGCAATCTCCTAACTGACATCCGTGCTACAACGCTACATATAAGATACTTTATCTTCGCAATTTCTGCCGTTTCATTACGACCGACGCACTTCACTTACACGAGCATAGATGGACAAAATACATAGCATCAAGCATTGTACACAGGTCACGATTATCCGTGAAGTTCCCAAGAGAAAACAAATGAGTAGATCACCAATCATTAGCTTATACGCATCCGCCTGATGTTCTTGCTTCCTCCACCCTTTTGTGCGTTTTTCTCCACGGCACCAACTACTTGTTCTAATTCTTCCTCAGTTACTACAGCCTTCTTACCCAGTTGCCTTCGAGGAGTTGTCAATCTTTTGTCCAATTCGTGGCACAGATCTCACCTCTTCTTTTTTTTCGTGGTATCAAGGTCGCCTTTCCCTGGCACAAATACAACATCAGGACCCCCGTAAACTGCCCGCGCCTTTCGATTGGGTAGAATCGTAACAGAGTCGTCAGCGCCACCTGTGCCGTCCTCCAAGAGAGAAAGATCTTTGATTTGCTTCTCCAACAAAGACACAGTGCGAGTCGATCGACGACCAGTTGCAGCTGTTGGATTCCCTACTTTCCCTTTCACTTTCGCCAGAGGCTTGTTGGCTACTTTAAATGGTCTAGACTTGGCCTTTGCTAGGGGGGCGTAGTCGTCGGACTCATCGTATTCAGTAATCGGGTCGTCCTCCACGCTCCCTTCCTCCTCTGTCATTTGCTCGATTTCGCTCTGAGCACTTGAATTAGTCTCCTCTTGATCGGCGCCCAACATTCGGTTGGAAGTGAGCTCTAATTGTGTTTTGGCCTTCCCTTTGCCGTCAAGAGGTGATGAAGATCGGCTTGCTTCGGAAAGAGCCGACTCATCGCTATCTTCGATAATTTCTACGTTCTAAACTGGAGTCAACTCTGAACCAACAAGGGCGTTGTCCTCCTTGAACTCACCTCATCTTCAATCTCACCTGACTCCTCGCCCTCCTCCACCAACTCTCGGCGCTTTTGAGGGGAGCCAATTAGTCCAGCTTGATGCAGCATGTCGATCTTGGCATCCATTTTCCGCTCGTTTCGCTCCACCTGACAAAGACTGTAAGTTGATGTGTTGCCCTCGAGGTCCAGACTTTACCTCGCTCATAAGCCTCTGGCTGTAAGTCTTCTCAATTTCGCGCATCCTTTCTTCCATTTCCTTCATAACGTCTTCACGGGTTTCCGCTTCAACTATTACACAACGCATCTCCGCCTCGTAGAGCTGTGAAAAATGCTTCTTGTTGAACAGACATCGACTTTTGATAATAGAATCGTACCCGCAAGCGCAAGTCTTCTATTTCATCAAACAAGGCATCCACTAGCGGATTGATGGGTTCGTCATCTTCCTCTTCACTCACACCATCTTCCCTCACTTCATCCTCTGTATGGAGCGGAATGATGAAAGGCACGATTTATAATGTAAAAACGTACCTTCGAGGACCTCGAGATGGGCTTCGCTGACCTTCTTATTGGGGAGAAGACTCGATATTGTCACCTTTCTGGTCACAGCCCTGGGCAGAGCTGAGCCGACTGTACTCCGCTTGCTTGGATTGGATTGTACGCGAGGCACAGGTGCGTTGTTCACGGTCGTCGAAACTTCTCTTGCGAGCGCAGAGAATTTCATTACATGAGAGTTCTCTTCAAAGCCGGTATCGTAAGGATTGATGTTGACGATCATCACCTATCACCATCAGCTCTCTATCAACTGCTTGCATAATGCTCCAAGCCGAAGACTTACAACTCGACCATCGCCAACAAAGTAATCCATTAATACCTCCGTGAGTTTGCTATGCCTAAATGGCACAACAGCCAATGCCCTCTTAACATCACGAGTATCCGTCCGCCCAGGATTTGCTAGGCTTTGTGCGAGGCGCTTTTGGTTGGAGCGCATGACCTACGGATGGTGAGCTGTGGTGCTGGAAAAAAAAGAATAGTCAGCCTACCTCCATGCATTGTCCAAGGACCATGAGAGACTTGTTGATGTTTCCGGCCTCCTTTAGACGATCGCCAGTTGTCTGCGTGTGCTTGGTTCGCTCCGATCCTGCTAGATCCACAAGGGTTAACCGCGATATTTGCAGAGAGCTCGGGTCCTGCAAAAGTTGAAGAACAAAACTGTATTTCCAAGATCCAGACCGTACTTACATCCCGGTCACCCCGGTGTCCTCTTAGAATCTTGATGGTCACCATACCATGGCTCCTGCTGCTTTGGCTGTTAGCCAGCGTGCCGAAGACACGTCGGTGCAGTTGTCCTAGCTTAATAAGTGCCTTTGCTTGTGCAGCACCAGTTACCCGAAAATATCTCAGTCCCGCAATATACTTCCCCGCGCTTCCAGGTCCACTCTCATCTAATGAGTCAGAGGCAGGTGAAGGTTTGACAGTGAGGGCTTTACGCGTCAACAGAAGCGGATGGGCGAGTTGTGCGTTGGTGTTGGAGCGAGGAATCTGTGACCGCGACGTATCCTCTGTCACTTCAGCAAGAAGATCGTACACCTTTTCATTGTATACTTCTGCGTAAGATATCCAGATAGAGTACTCGTAGTTGCGGTCGAGCTTAATGATGGTTGGATCGATGTCGATGTCGATGTCATCCGTGTTCGACAGGTGTTCCGCGAGGACTTCTGCGAGTCGTGGTTCATCAGTTGGGTCCGTAGGAGGCAGGAAGTCAGAAGGATCAGCTTCTTCTACACCGTACAGCCTAACGGGCCTGAACTAATTGAATTTGATGATAAGTTATTAGGTCGTGTATATTGAATCATGGCTCACCCGACCATCGCTGTGCAGTCCCTCGACGCTGTTAAAAATCACGTCTAGTGTCCGCGGCAAGATACCTGCAGAATCTGGACCATTGCCTCCTTGGATTGTATATGTCTTGCCCGAATTTGTGACACCATACGCAAACAACAAGCCATTTTGTCCATCCAGAAGATCACGTACGAGGGGAAGTGTAGTTTTCGTGAAGAACTCTGCCTGTTGTGTTTCTGGCAGAAAAACATGCGAGAATTTGTAGATTGACGAAGGTGTGACGGTTGAGACACGAATGTGCGGTTTGGAGCTGCCTGAACCGTCATGGGAGATGTCAGTCATCTGTACAGACGTGTCGGATAAAGGGGCAAGGTAAGGCATAGACATGGGTTCATCATCTCCAAGCTGAGGACGAATGCGCAAATAGGCCTGAAGAACATTCTCAGTATATGATAAAAAGCTAGTACACATAATTCACCATAACAGGTTCGCGCTCTACAGTCAACCTGTGATCTGCCTGTGCTTGCCTAGTTCCGGCCACCTTCTTGGCAGCAGGAAGCTTAGCATCAGGTGAATTAGCTCGATTGACAAGAGGCTTTCGACCAGTTGTTCGTGTTTTTGATACCTCAGCTTGTGCAGTAGTTTTGCTTGGAAGTCTTGCTCGAATGGTCTTTATCCCTGCCGGAGGAGTCGGAGGTGGATTTGGTGTCTTTGTTCGGGTCGATGCCCTCGTCGGTGCTGCACCAATCTTCGATCTCGTGGCCATGATATTGCAATTTTTGCTGCGAATTACCACTGCTAAGAGCTAAGGATGGGCTCTGTGAAGTCGAGAAGTTGGTTGGATCAAGGTTCAAATATTTAAATGGACACGTAAATAATGGCGCGCCACACACGCGAAGTCGGCAAGTACGCGTCGCGCCACGTGATCATTTCAATTCTCTATCGCCGCCATCATGATACCGACGCCAGATCTTTCTCATTTGACTAGGCATGATCTTGAACAAGTTTACGACCCAGCAGGTAAGTGACCGTATATATAAGCTGTACAGTAGTCTAAGCTATCTCGCAGAGGACACGTTCTTGTTACTGGATGCCCTCGAACAGGAGGCGGAAGCGCTCCGAAAGGAACGTCCTCTGATTTGTCTCGAGGTCGGGTGAGTTTTAGCTTATACATGCTATTAAATGCTGAGTGCGATTCAGGTCTGGATCAGGATGTGTGTCAGCATTTCTCGGAAAGGTCTTAGGACAATCATCTTCTCGTGAGTTCGTATTCATCATTCTAGTAGGTGCAGGGCTGATTAGCAATTTACCAGTTTACCTCTGCACTGACATAAACAAACACGCCACCAACTGTACGCTCGCAACGGGGAAACAGAATAAGGTATAGCCTGGATCTTGCGAACGTTTCAGCTACATCTAATTCACAATTACACAGTAGATACCTCTAGATCCAGTGACATGCTCGCTAGCGCGACCTCTCTTATCGCGATTGCGTCACGCAGTTGATGTACTCTTATTTAACCCGCCTTATGTGCCAACAGATACAGATGAAGCTTCCAGTGCTCAGGGTAGTGCTGGTATTGCGGGGTCCTGGGCAGGGGGGGCTGATGGAATGGAAATTACCAATCGTTTATTACAAGATGTTGAGGTATCATCTTTCCTAATGCTGTGAAGTATTATTGACTATGCCGCTTCTCAGTGTCTGTTATCACCGCGGGGTAGATTTTATTTGGTTGCCTTGAAACAAAATAATGTCCCAAACATACGGTCGAGGATGTTGGAGGACTTTGGTTTAACCAGCCAGGTAAACTCAACCTGTCCAGTACGAGTTGAGCACACTCTCACAATAACTAGATTGTCATCGAACGACGGGCGGGAAGAGAATACTTGATAATCATTCGCTTCGCACGGACCACCCCTAGCTAATTCCAACAACGGGAAGCTTGTCTTAAAAACTAAATGGAATGAAATTTTTTGGGCATCAATGAGGAACAATGAAACATAAAACGAGCAGTTTGTAGATCGTGAATTGGATATGTACTAGTCGGATATCGCTTAC